AATGATAGAAGATATTGTGCTTGTCCTTAAGTAGCATACCAGCCTAGGGGAAACAAGACATGAATATATGAAGAAATCAGAGAATAATTGTAAAGCATTCATTAACAGGAGAGTGATTTGCAAGTAGTATTCCGATAGGGACTTAGGCAAAATTTTTTTTTCTGTAATGGGAGTGAAAGATAATTGTCTTCACCAAAGACTTTTATGTGACCATCCTCAGTCAAAGTTAACCTCATCAAAAGTTGTCTGACTAGCTCCTTGAGCTTTTTATGGCAAAAGTGTTTCTTGCAAAACCCAGTAGAGAGTTATCTTTACCTAACAGTTTTAGGTTTCGTTTTCTCTATGTTTAAATCAGGATATGTCATGTGCAAATATAGTATAAATATTAACTAGGTCCAGTAATTACGATGCAGAATAAATTTTGGTAAGAGCACAAGAGAGGTACAGAGTATTGTTTGAGGTCCATGAAAGAAAGATCATTTATGACTGAGAGGATCAGGTGCAGATTTGAGTTAGACTTGGAGGATGGGGAGAATAACAGCAGAGGACATTTATGTAGTATTGTAAAGTTTACAAAGCACTCTTCATTCAGTATTTCATTTGATCCTCATGCCATTCCTGTGAGGTAGGTACTACAGTTGTTATTATCTCCATTTTACAGAAGAGGTTCAGATAAGTTCAGTGACTTGCCCATTGTCATATAGCTTTGATCTTCAGAGGTAAGGTTTATACCCAGGTCTCTCATGACTCCACAAGTCTAGCACTCTTTCCACTATACCACATTGCCTTGGTAAAATTTCATCTGGTAGAGGTTGGGGGATGCCGGGGGAGTGTCATTCTGGGTAGGTTTGATCAAAGGATACCTCTGGATTGTACAAAGGATGACTAGTAGTCCAGTGTAATGGATTTGGAAGAGAGTAGTGTGAGATAAAGATGAAAAGGAAGATAGGCCCCAAACTGTGGTGGAACTTGAATACTAAGCTAAGGGATTTTAACTTAACTCAGTATGTAGTAGGGAGCCATTGAAGGATTTTGAGCAGTGAATTGATGACATCAGATCTGTGCATGGGAAAGGCCATCCTGATTGTGTGAGGGATAAATTGCAGTAGAGATAGACCAGTGGTGGGAAGATCAGTTATGTGTTGTAATAGCCCAGACACACAGGCCTGTACTAGAATGGCAGGAGTGGTTAAAAAAAAAAAAGATTCAGATTCCAAAGGTAGAATTGATGAGACTTGGTAACAAATTAGGAATGGGAGGTGACAGAAAGAGAAAGTTCAAAGATAACACTGAAGTTTCAGGCACGGGTGAATAGAGGTACCATTCACCCAATCTGAAGTTTGTTCTATCCAGATGTAGCATCTTATCTGTACCTCTTGGCAGTTCTACCAGTTCACAGGTTATTCTTCCTTTCTCAGAGAAGTTGGTATTTGACTCTCAGTCTTTCTCTCCACCTGAGCTTGTTCACTTATACTTTTGGACTGTGGTACACATATTGATGTTCTCTTACACACTCCCAGGTCCCAGTTCTCACTTTCCTTAACTCCCATTTCCTATATTTCACTCACCTCAGCCACACCCCTGGGTGGTCACACCCTTGATCTCACTATCACTTACAGGTTGCACTTTCATGATCAAGAATTCTGAAATCCCTTTATCTGACCACAACCTCTTATCCTTCCATCACTTGCTTTTCTTTTTTCTTTCTGATGACATTCTTTGTCCTTATTGTGATCTGTAGTCCCTCCATACCTCAGTGCTCTCCCAGGCCATCACCCCTGCTCTAACTTTGTTTAGTTAAAATTGTTCAACCACACATTAACATTACTCTTATATCCCTTGCTCCATTTTCTTATTGCTGCTCGTGCTTTGACAACCTTCCCTGGACAAAATGCCCTCACCATTTGCTTCCTCCATTTTAACTCAAGTAAGTGCTGGTTACTGGGTCCACCACTAATTTGTTTTACTTAATCTTTATTGGGCCCTCCTTTTACTCTTGCTTAGTTGATTCAGTGTTACACTAACCACAAAGGCTATTCTAAATCTCTTCTCAACCCCTTTCACATTTCGTTCTTAGTAGAAAACCCTGCCTCATACTTTACTGGGAAAATAGAGACCATTTGCCATAGCCACACATTTCTCTTTTTCTCTACATCTCAGAACTCTTTGACGTTATCTCCCACTGTCTCTTTTTTTTTTACTACAATCTCTGATGAAGATAGAGTTCTTCTCCCCAAGACCAACTCCTATACTTATACTCTTGATGTCATTCCCTTCCTACCAATCTACAATCTCTCCTTATTTACTAATTTTTTTCTTGTCTGCAAACATGCGTAGGTCTTCCCTATCCTTAAGAACAAACAAACAAACAAACAAACAAAAGAAAACCAACTTCACTTGACCCTGCTGTCCTTTCAAGTTCTTATTCTATATCTCCCCCATCTCCTTTTATAGCCAAAATCCTAGAAAAAGCCATTTTGCTTATTGCTTCTATTTTCTTTACTTTCACCGTTCATCCCCTTGAAATTTTGTTTCTAATGACCTCAAACTGCTTTCATCAAAGTTACTGTTGAATTGTTAAATTCTGTGTACTTTTCTTATCCTTCATCTTCTTAACATCTGTTCACCATTTGACATAATTTATCACCCTATGCTCCTAGATGCTGTTTTCCAGCTTTTTATGACACTGCTGTCTTTTGCTTCTCCATCCACCTGGCTAGCCCCTTCTCAAGTCTTCTTTCATCCATGCCTTGTGCCTAACCATCCATGTCCTCAAAGGCTCTGTCCTGTGCTCCTCACCTCTCTTCTACTTTCCACATCCTCCTTCAATGGAGGCAGCAATTCGCATGGGTTCAGTTATTGTTTCTCTATGCAGATGATTCCCAGATCTATGTATCTTAGCCTCTAATCTTTCTCCTAAGCTCTTATCCTTATCTATTCCTATCTCATCCCTGAGCTATCACTTATTGAACATTTGAAAGTGGATGACCTATAGGTATCTTAACATGTACAAAACAGAATTCATTATCTTTTTTCCAAAACCTGCCCTTCTTAACTTTCTTAGAGAAAAATACCATCCTTCTATTCACCCTGGTTCATAACCATGGAATCATCCATGACTCTCACTCTGCCCCCATTTCCCATATCAAATTAGTTGCTATGTCTTCGTGATTCTGTCTCCACAATATAATTTGGAATCCATCCCCTTCTGTCCACTAACACAGCTACTATCGAAGGTCATGCCTCATTTCTTACCTGGAGAAAAAACAACAATAATAACAGCAATAATTCACATTTACATAGTGCTTTAAGATTTGCAAAATGCTTTACGCGAACCTTTGAGGTTGATGCTCTTATCCCTATTTTACTGATGAGTAAACAGATTAAGAAATCAAGGGGTTGCTTACCAGAAGTGAATACTAAGTGTCTGATATGGGGTTTAAAACCAAGCCTTTATAAATCTAAGTCCAGTGTTCTATATCCTATACCACAATGCCTCCTAATTGAATCCTTTTCTTCACATTTCTCCCTCCAATCCATCCACCATGCAGCTGCCTTTATTCTGTGGATTGGTGGTAAGAGAGGAAGAAGTGATGATACATACATACTGATAAGCCTGGTGTAAAGGAGGGGGAGTAATAGATTCAAAGAAGAGAACTCAACAAAGTGATCAAGGTGGGATGAGAGAGGAAGGCCAAGTGGAAGAAGAGGCACCTGTTATGAGTGTGGAAAAAATCTGAAAGACAGAAATGAAGGGGGGAGAGTATTGTAGGGATGGGAAATAGCTTTCATGAATGCATATAAGTAGGAGGAGATATGGTGATTTAAGGTAATAGCTCTGAGATTCTCAAGGTCTACCTTAGAATGGTGCCCAGCTTTCTTAAAGATATTCAGATTGACATTAAGGAGATCTTAAAGTCAAAGACTCATCATTAAAGACTTAAAGACTCATCATTAAAAAGAAATGGCAGTTGTGTGTTATCAGACTTGAGAACCTAAGTCTAGTAACCACCAGATTTTAAATGCATACCCAATAGAAATATCTCTCAATATTTTATTGGTGATGCTGTTGAGAATTCCTTTGATGTAAGTGAAAGGTCCAGAGAATCTATATCATGAATTGAGTAACATTTTTAGACCCTATGTAACCCCTTCTTTTCCTCCCACTCCCCAGCATCATCAACCTCCTTTTCAGGATCTTGGGATGATGTCTTTAAGATATTATCTAGTTTTAATTTACATGTACAGATTTGGATGTCCTAATTGGCAGAAGGAAGCATGAAGACACACTAAGGTGTCTTTACCTAACCTATAAAGGAGGGCTCATTTTCCACATAAAATTTCCCCTCTTCAGGGAATTGATCAACTCTAGTTTGGGATAATTGCACATTCAGACAGTGTGACTTAAAATGCCGCATTTAAGTCCATAGTTCCAACTTTCTCTCCCAGTAAAAATCAAGAGGCTTGATTCTTTATTCATCTTCTTTCCCCTGTGGTGTCCTCTCAATGAACCTGAAAGTCATACAGGAGAAAAGAAAAAGGACAACAAAGGATGTGGAGATCTGTAAATTGGCTTAGGAAAAATTGACTTGAATTATCTTTTTCTTAATGACCTAACTAGCTGTTCCATATCATTAGAAGTCTCTGTAGTGTTTTTGCCAAAGGCATTCAAGTCAGAAACTTGCTTTTAGGTTAAATTTAACAAATTTGAGGTAAGACTACCTCTAAAGATTTTTTAATTCAGATCATTAGCATCCTTTTGTAATGATTTATACAATGTATGATTTTATATTAATGAATGAAAAAGTATTTATTAGGCACTTATTATATGTCAAGCACTGGGGATTATTGGCAGAATGAAGAAATACGAAGGATGTATTCCCTAGAACACATCTAAGACTTCATAATTAGTTAATTTAATATAGATATCATGCTTGTTTGCTCAATTGGTTACATATGCTATTGATGATTTTATAACCCTTTGCATTGTAAATCTTCAGTGCAGGAATCACAGTCATGGCTCCCATTGGTTGCCAGGGCTTGGTCATCGAAACATGTCTGCACAGGAAAACAGAGAACCAACAAAGGAAAAAGAAGCTTTGCCTCTTATAGAGGACCCTAGTAACTGTGACATTGTGAAAGCTACCCAGTAAGTCATCTCTGGATCATTTATCCTTGGGCTAAATTTTACTGGTATACCGCTGTATGTGCTGTGCTGTCCAATGCTGTTCATAACATCGTTTTGCTGTTTTCACCTTAGTGAAGGATGACAACAGTAACATTCAAGAAAATGTGAAAGAAGGCTGCATTTAAAACAAAAAAGAACATTTAATATTTAGGCATTCATTTATTTGGATATATAGCCAGCCTTTGTAAAGGTGATCCTAACCTTAATAAAGATGACCCTAACTATGCTAACAAATACCTTTGCACATAGTAAGCATTCATAAATATTTGTTGATTGATAAAAAATTGAAATTACATTTAATATTCTTTTATGGGAGAAATCAACATATTGGAAATGACAGTACTTCCTAAGTTAACTTGTGGATTGAGTGCACTATTAATCAAAGTACTAATGCATTTCTTTATATGAATGAATTAAAATGCTAAAAGAAATTTATAAGGAAAAACAAATAGGTAAACTAATGAAGGTGGCGATCATAAAAATTCTTCTGGTACTGACCAAAAATTAAAAATGAGTGAAATGAATACAGATCCTAGACATAGAACCAAACAAATCTGGGAAAATTGGAGAACAGGCTCAACTATAGAGGCCTGTCACAGTATTCCAGCAACATTATCCAACTGGTTTTTGTCAACCCTAGAGGATTATAGATTAATTAAGTTCCAGGGGTCTCAGATAACAGGCATCAGGGCCTAGGACGAAGGACTTAACAGCATTGGGCCTTCAGAAGGAAAGAACTGGCAGTAAGAAGCACACTTAAAGTAAGGACACCATTGAAGAATCAGCAAGGTGATTTATAAAGACAGGTAAAGGTTGATCGAAGAAGAGAAAGAAGTAAACATTTAAGGAGGAGAACTCCCTCAATGTATTTGGTTACAAAGAAAATTGTGTAAAAATTCCCTGAAAAAGCTTTTCCAACAAATTTGGAAAAGGCACTAAGATGATGATAGCACAACTACTAAGAACCTCTAGAGTGGTTCAAAAGAGTAGTGAAAGACTTCAACAAAAATATCACAGAATCATAGAACTTGAGAATTAGGAGAGATCTCAGCAGTCATCTAGTCAAAACCATATGAGAAAAGAATATTATTACATAACCAAAGTTGGTTTTCTGGTCTCTATTTGAAGACTTCCAAGGTGAAAGAACCCATCACCTCTTCAGGCAGCCCATTATACTTTTGGCCAGCTGTAATTGTTAAAAAGTTTTTTCTTGACAGTGAGTCTGAATTTTCTTCTTGGCACATCTATGATTTCGTCTCTGTGGATATTCTATCCATGCTTGTAAAATTACAAACCCTGTACAACTTGGTAGGTAGTCTTTGTGTATTGCTGTGGCCCAAAAAATTGATTGCCTGATGGCCAGCCTTTTGGTGATTATCTTCCAGGGCTTGAGTTCCACTAGCACAGTCTTTGATCACAGAACTGAAAGGGACCCCAAGGCCATCTAGTTTAACCAGCACCTGATCAAGAATGTCCTCCACTATGTTCCTGACAAATGATCATCCGGCCCCTTCCCAAAGATCTCCCTCTTACCACCTGAGGCATTTCATTCCACCTGGGAAAGCTCTAATTGTTAGATAATTTCTCCCTCCTTCAAGCTCAAACTTGTAAGGCCCATCTGCTGCTCCTAAGTTTGCCCTCTGTGATTTAGCAGTGCATATCTTATCCCTGTTTTATATGACAACCTCCCAAACACTCCAGTAGCTGTCTATCTCATGTCCCTGGTAAGTCCTGTCTTCTCCAGGCTCACATCCCTGGTGATGAGGTATCAGAGTAGAATTTTAATAGAAGACTTAAATCTAACTAATTACAAGAAAAAACAGAAGTATTTCTTTTTCAGCAAAATCTTAGCTATTTAAATGATGGAGAATTGAGTCCTGTTGTATATCACTATCCATTATCAGTACTTCACTCTTACTATTACAGAAAATTTCTGGTTAGCCCTGACCTAGAGGACTTGCTAACCAAGCATTATTTGTTCTGAATCAGGAAATGGAATAAATCAGCATAAGCTTCAGTATTAAAGCTCATCATCTTGTGTTACTCAAGCTTGTCATCTTACCCTGGTTTGTAATTGCCACATTATTCACCTATGAGATAGACTACTAAGAATATACATCTTTTGAAAGGAGACATTTTAGTGTTTGAATGTCTTTAAATAACGCTCAATGACATAGATTTGAATATTTCCTTGTTTTAGATATGGGATTTTTGAGCGATGCAAGGAGTTGATAGAAGCTGGATATGATGTCAGACAACCGGACAAAGAAAATGTGTCTCTTTTACACTGGGCTGCTATAAACAACAGACTGGATCTTGTAAAGTAAGACTGGGCAACTGTTTGGTAAATGTCTCTGTTTCTTTGTTGATAATTGTTTTCCTTTTCTATTTGTGTTTTCCTTGTGTGAATTTTCTCTATTTTGAAGCATAAGTTTGAATGATGATCCATTTTTAACACTTCTCAGTGAATGACTTTGGTTCTCAGAAATTCTATTTCTTTACCATCATTTCCCTGAGAATGTGAATTTCAATAAGCTGTTAATCAAATTGGTGTGAACATAAAGACAGAATCTGAGTACCAAAAATGTGAAGTCTTTAGTAGGGAAAAAATGCCTTTCATGGCAAATTGAAAATTTTAATCTAGTTTAGTTGTGATCTTAAAATGTTTTACATTTGTGAGGTGTGATCAGCAGATTGTTGGGAGAATTTTGAACTGACCTTTAAATAAAATTTTAAAATGTTATCACACTGCTGCTCATCCATGATCCTTTTTATTTCTTTAATGTATATATTTTACTATTTCATCATTTACTAACATAAGTTTCGGATAAGTTCTTATTGGGGCCATAATCTTTTTTAAAAAGTTAAGTAACTATTTAAAGAAATCTGTTGTTTCTATCACATACACATCCCACTCATGAATAAGTATCTTTGTGCTTTTTCTGATGATCTTTTAACAATTCCGTAGTCTTTGCTCATTTCGCATCCTTCTTAAAACTCTATAGCATATGATGCTGTAAGCCACTTTCTCCTCCCTGAGTTCTCCTGATGCCATTGTCTCCTGGTTTTCTTCTTACGTGTCTGGCTTCTTCTTTTCAGTTGTTTTTGCTGGATCGCCATCCATGTCTCACTTATTGTGTATGGTGTACCCAGGGACCCTCTCCTGGGTCCTCTCTTCCTCTCACACATCATCAGCTACCTGTTGGACATCTCTGAATAGATATCACTTAGGCTTGCCCAACTCAACACTACCACAAGGGATTCATTGTCTTTTACCCCCAAACATCTCTTCTTCCTAACATTCCTTTTTTTGTTGAAGGAACCGCTATCCTTCCCAAAAAGAGTCCTTGTTGATGCCTAACCTACCCTCACCTTTTATATACAGTTAGTTGACAAGTCTTTTCAGTTCTACCAATGTAATACCTTTTATAAGCTTCTTCTGTACACCCATACCACATCTACCCTACTTCAGTTCTTAATCACCTCTCATTAAATTACTGCAATAGTAGGTTAATTGCTCTCCACGTTTCCAGTCTTTCCCCTTTCCAAACCATTCTCCACAAGGTTTGTATTCTAAAGTACAGTTCTGACTGTCACTCCCGTGCTCAAGAAAGTCCCATTTATCCTAGGGACTTGTTCTCAGTCCCAATGGAAAAGACAATGACATTTCTAGCTCTTCACAATCTGATTCCAGCCAGATTCCAGATTTACTCTATAGTGCTCTCCTTCATTCACTTTAATCACCACCAAACTCACCAGATTCCTGTTCTGTACAACACATTCCATCCTTCTCCCACCTTTATGCTTCTACACAAACCCAAATCTGGCCTGCACTTTCTCCTCACGTCTACTTCATGGAACCCCTTGCTTCTTCCTTCAGAGTTCCACGTAAGTACCAGTTCTGTTATTAAAAGAGGCCCATCCTGATCTATTTGCTAGTGCCTCACTCCCATCCGCAATTGCTTTTTATCTATTTTATGTATAGTTTGTAATTACTTTCCTGGGTACATTTTGTCTCCTCTCAATAGAATATAAACTCCTGAGGGTAGGGTTTTGGTTTGGTTTTTTTTCCCCATTTTTGTTTCTATCCCTAATACCTTAGGGATAGAACACCTGGTGCATAATAGTTGCTTAATAAATCCTTGTTGCATGTTACCATAAATGTGAGGTATAGTAACAAAGTAATGTGACATGTTTTCTTGTGTCACATTAAAAAAAATCAGTCTTCTTTCTTTAATAAACTATCATATAAACCATCTAATCTATTTAAGAAAGATTTATTCTATCTAATTTTAAGAAAAGAGTTTTTAGCACTTGGCCTCAAATAAGATGAGAGCATTCTATTTAAACTTTTCTGAAAGATTTTCCAGCTTTGTCCTTCTTTGAAAGTAGCACGAATGAGAAATCAAATTCACTAATAAAACTGGTATGATCTCTTTTTTGTTCTCTCACCATGTTAAGATTGCATCATATGTGACACTAACACATGTAATTAAATGTTTTAGGCATGCAGCTTTCAAAGGCTGATGTGGGTAGGGAGAATGTGCAGAGAACAAAGAACAAATGTATGGAAGGAAAGTTATAACTGAAGATTAATCATAACTGAGGTCACTGTTACCAGCCAAGAATATTTGACTAGGAATAGGCACCAGACTCTAAGAAAAATCTTTTTCAAAGTTCCATAGAGATGCAAATGTGTTTCTTTTGGCAAATAGTATCTTTGTTAGCATTTATTACAAATCTAACTAGAGTGATGAATTATGTATTTTGGATTTTAATAGATTTGTGTGTTTTCCTGCACAGGTTTTATATTTCAAAAGGTGCTGTTGTGGATCAGTTGGGTGGGGACTTAAATTCAACCCCTCTTCACTGGGCCATCAGGTAAGTTTTGCAATGATGAACTCACATTTATATTGTTTTTTAAGGTTTGAAAGCTCTTTGCTCACAACAAATCTGTGAGTTAAGAACTGCAAATATTATCTCTGTCTTATAGTTGAGGACACTTGGGCACAGATAGGTGAAGCCCTTGCCCAAGGTCACCCAGTGAGTTGGTATCTGAGATCTGAACTGAGGTTCCATGAAATCACACTGCCTCAATAACAGAGCTGTTCAGGTTACTTAGCCCTATCTAAGCATTACAGGTCGTTTTAATGATTTTTTAAAATATTATCCTTAAGTTCTTATAGAGAATTGGTTCTTCTGTTATAATATGGTTGTTCAGTTATGATTGTAAGACTCAGATGTATGTCATTAAACATTTTTTCCATAATTAGGATAAATGTTTTGAATAATATATCTTGAGGGACAGCATGACATAGTGCACAGAGAGCAGCAAGACCTGGGTTCAGTTCTTGCCTTTGATATATATACTATGTCACCCTGGGCAAGTCATTAAACATCCTAGTGCCCCAAGCTGTTTTCTTAGACTGTAAGTTGGAGATAAGGCACTGACTTGCATTGGGGGCGGGAGTTTCTCATCAGAGAGTTCCCTATACCAATGAGATCCTTGGTCTAGTTCCTGGTCCTGTAATTAATCACATAGATGAACTGCTGTTTCTGTAAACGGGGGACCTCACTCAGAGTAGTCATAGGATGTATGTCCACTTGAAAACTTTAATCAGTGGATTCAAAAACATAGCTTGATCCACAAAGCAGAGGCATATGAGGCACATCTAATAGTATGAGTAGTAGACTGAATTTTGTCCCAAATGGTTTGGCCATGTTGACATTTGTCAAAGAACAGACAGGCCGATATAAAATACCAGTGCCCATCCAGCACTATTCTACAATTTAGAAGTCACTCTTCTGCCCTTCCTAGTTCCCTTTTACCACCTCATTGCCTGTGAAAGATAACCTTTAAATGCAAATTCATTTGAAGCCCAAGTAGTGGAAGAAGAATGTATGTTTTCCCCATATCAAAGAACTTGAAAACATCGGGTTAGATATATGTAGCAATCTGCCTATATTTGCAGGGAATGGCTAGTATTGGCAAACTCTAGCTCCATATCTTCCTGCAGTGCTATAAGGCCATCTGGTTCATCAGCTGTGAGGGCCACAGTTCAGCAGTGTTAGTTTTCAACTGTGTTATGTTAACAGATCTTCTTCTGAAGTCCTGCTGCTTACCTCATTGTGGCATGCTAGTGATCCCACGTTCACCAAGGCCATGTGGGCATAGTATAAGTTCTGACAGGTCTCTTTCCATGTTTAAAAGGTTTGAGTGTGAATGTGAGAAGGAGAGACCATAGGTCTGCCACTCATGCATTTGTTGTCATTTCAGACTCTTTGTGACCCCATTTGGGATGTTCTTGAGATACTGAAGTGATTTGCCATTTCCTTCTCCAGCTCATTTTACAGATGAGGAAACAGAGGCAGACAGGGTTTAAGTGACTTGCCCAGAGTCACATAGCTAGTAAGTGTCTGAGGCTAGGTTTGAATGCAGAAAGATGAGTCTTCCTGATTTCAGACCCAGCACTCAGAGGATACTCTGAGCCACCTAACTTCCCTGCTCATGAATTAGTTAGGGCTAAGTTCAGAGACCTCATCACTGGGTTGGTTACAAGGGAATGAATTTTTTGTCAGTAACAACTCTTGAAGAAAATCTACTGAGTCAGAGAGGAGTTGGAATTTATATCATTTGAGGGTGTATTGACCTAGGCCATTGGAATTACTGGCTATTGAAATACATCAACAATTACCGTTATCTTCTTTTTAAGCATCTTTCCATTTCTTATGAAATAGGCCAGCTTTAATCTAATGAAGCTCCAACCCTGAAATAGAGAGAAGTTGGCAGGGAGACTGAGCCAGAAAACAGTTGGAGTTGTTAGTAACTTTTTTGTGGGTTCCCAGTCAAATACTTAGAAACATAACCTAAGCTGATATAGTATAGGTACATATTCTTGAAAAATACCATGCATTACAATGTTGCTGTCGGTTAAGTTTAAACATCTATCTAGCCAGTGCTTAAATAACATTTTTCATTTTGTAAATAGGTGTCATAATGTATAAGAAGTAATTTCAAAGTTATGGTTGTTGGCTTAAATTTTCCTGTAGTATCAGGCTCCATGTTCCCCCAGGAGGTAGAGGCCAGCACATTAACTGTATTAAATCACAAAATCACAGATTCGCAGAGTTAGAAGGAACTCACGTCATTTAGTATAACCCATATCCAAAATGGAATCCCTCCCCCCTCATCCTCCATGTAAAGATATTCACTGATGGAAGAACTCACTGTCTAAGGTATAATCCTTACACCTTTGGAGCTTGGACAGCTCCAACATTTTTTCTGCATATCAAACCAAATTCACTCTGAAGCTTCTACCTGTTGGTCCTGCTTCTGCCCTCAGGGGCCAGAAAAGACTAGTTTAATTAAACTTTCACGTGACCGCCATTTAAATACTTGAAGACATCTCTCCCATTGCCTCCTCAGTCCTCTCATCTTCAGCTTAAATGTGCTTTTCCCTTGCAGTCCTGATTGCTGTCCTGAAGGTGCCTAACTTATTTATGTTTTTCTCAAAATATTGTGCCCACAACTGAACACAATGCTATGGAAGGAACAGGACTGTAATTATCCATGAGCCCCAGACTTCTAATAATGTAGCATAATATCACATTAGCCTTTTTGGCTGCCATGCTACAGTCTTGACTCTATTGACCTTGCTGACCATTTAAACTCCCAAGTATTCTTTACATGAACTGTTCTCTAACCTTGCGTTCTTTATCCTGAACTTCCAGTTGATTTTTTGGAAACCACATGTAACTTGGTGTGTTAGATATATCATTGGTATTGGAGTCAGGAAGACCTGAATTCAGATTCTGCCTCAGATACTTATTAACTGTATGAATCTGGGCAAATCATATAAGCTCTCTTATCCTCAGTTTCTTCATCCATAAAATGAGGAAAATAATAGCAGCTACCTCATAGGGTTGCTTTGAAGATCAAATGGGATGTTGTATGTAAAATGCTTTGTTTTGTAAACCTTAAAGCACTATATAAATGTTAACTATTATAATTTCATTTATTAGATCTAGTTAAAATTTTTTTTGGATCCCACTTCTAGCATCCAATGTATTAGATTTTCTTTCTAATTCCATATAATTCACATTTGATCCACATACCATATTTATCTTAGTTATTAATTAAAATATTGGACAGCAAAGGACCAAAAACAAATCCCTGGAGTACTCTGCTAGAGACCTCCTTCATGGTTCATAGGATCATCGATCTGGAGGGACCCAAGACATCATCTAGTCCAGCCTTTTCATTTTGCACTGGAGGAAACTGAGGCCCACAAGGGTTAAATGACTTCTCTAAGGTCACACAGGTAGCAAATAGCAGTACTGGGGTCAGAAGCCAGGTCATCTGACTCCAAATTCGGTGTTCTTTGAACATTGATCACTTCCCAAATCGAGTCAGCTTCAAGCCCACATATCTGTCTGTCCTGTCCACAAGGATAGCACGAGAGATGTTGTCAGATGCCGTGACCAAGAACACATATTGATGGTCTGAATATACTCATAAGGAATGGTTGGTATAGGCAAATTCTGTCTCCATATTTTGGTTTTTGGCTAGGCAATGGGGTTAAGTGACTTGCCCAGGGTCACACAGCTAGTAAGTGTTATGTGTCTGAGGCTGGATTTGAACTCAGGTCCTCCTGAATCCAGGGCCGGTGCTCCATCCACTGCACCACCTAGCTGCCCCTCCATATTTTTTTGTAGTGCTGTTAGATCACCAGTTCATCACCTGCCTATAAACCATCCCACACATATAACATTCATTGCTAACTTAAAGGTGTCCACAGGGATGAAAACAACTTTTCATGTGTATCTAATCTACCAGTTTATCTGTTTGTAAACTAAATCCATCATGGCTCAAATCAAGGTGATTCAAGTTAACATCTGCTTTCATCCTCCTCACTATAAAATTCGACAGTATTTTTTTTTCTGTCTTCCTTTACAGACAAGGACATTTACCTATGGTAATATTGTTACTACAGTGTGGTGCAGATCCCATGCTCATTGATGGGGAAGGATTTAGTGGTATCCATCTGGCAGTATTATTTCAGCATATGCCTGTCATAGCATATCTTATCTCAAAGGGTCAGGTATGTTTTTGAAATGTTTCTTATGTTTCATCTGTTATAAATTGGAAAGATTCTAATTATTAATCCATTTTTTAAATGGGATTTAAGGCTCTATCACAAAAGGCCCAATCTTATGCCTCACTTAGATCTTGAGGTGACCCAGAGTTCTCAAAGCCATGAGAACAATTCAAAACTCTGGCTGGTTATACTAAGCTGGAAAGGCTTTGGAAATATCCCAGTGACAGACTGTGTGTGTTCCCTGAGGACCAGTTTAGCCAAATGTGGAAAGACTCATTACTAGAAGGTCAGTTATTAGGTGATGAACTGTATGGGCATGATGATACATAAAACATAAAAATTCCAAATGCCCCTCATTCTGATTCCATAAAATGGAGGAAAATAGGTACTGAGCATCACATCGTTTTTATATAGGATCTTTGTTTAATGGATAATATATTGAGAGAATACTAAAGAAATAAACCATATCTGCTTTAATATTCTTGCTATAAATGTAATTGGTAGATATAAAGTAGTTATGGCAGATGAAAGGACAGTCCACAGTTTCTCATCAGAAAAGTAAGTAATAAGGTTGTCAGAATTAGTTTTCGTCATATCCCTAGAGGCAATAGGAACCATTTTATGAGCTCTTTGCTCATGCTTCCAAGGAGTATAAACAGCTGGACCACCATGAAATTACTTATACCTGTTTGCAGAAGATAAAGTAGAAAACTTTGATGAAGAATTTGATGAAATCCTCCAAATGAGTCCGATATGTACAATGATTTTTGATGACATTAGAGTGGAGGTGGGCACAGGAGAGAAAAGATGAAGAGCCTGTGGTAAAAATGAAAAAAATCAAAAGGCTTGTTTATATGTTACTTAAAAAGTTTCTTGCCTGTCTAATATGAAGACTTTCTTCAAGAATTGTTGGAAGCTGCTGGCTGTAGTGAGCACTGAACAATATCACAACAATTGAAAAAGGTTTTATCTTAATGGACAGGAAAAAAAACTAGTGACCATTATGAGAGAATTGACTGTTTGTGAGCAGTCAAGTCATTGACAAAGAACAAAAGTTAAAATCAAGACAGAAATTAAAAATAAAGGATGAAAATGAGAAAGTAATAATGCATGCAATTACAACAGCACTAATCTGACCTTTGAAGCAAGTTTTTGACTGTGAAAAATGGGAGGACAAAAGGAGATATAGAAGCCTATGAGATTCCTTAGATGAATTTAAGTGGCATAAAATAGTTGCCACCACAAGAAGACCAAAGACTTTGGTAATCAATCACCTTTTAAAAAAAAATGTGAACTCTTTGCCAAGATCAACGCTGGATTAGCATAAAAGCTCATTTGCTACAATGGAGGAAGATGATAAGATGAGGAACGGTATCAGCCCACGAAATAGAGAAAAGCAACTGAGAGGAGAATAGCCCACCAGGAAGCTTGGTGTGAGACTGTGAAGCCACACTATCCTGAAATTTCTGATCGATGAAACCAAAAGGAGGACGATAGATATGACATGAAGCAGATCACTGAAGACAGTAGGAGCAGCACTTCTGGACTTTACCACTTCAATAGCCAATTGAAAAAGTGGTAATGACATGTGATAAAGTTGGAAAAACGAATGACCTTGACTTTCACATAGAGAAGAAATCTGTGCTGAGTATGGCACAAGTTTTAAAGACATTTGATTTTTAAAATATTTCAAAATTGATAATATTCCAAAAGAAAGGAATGCAATATAGATGATACTATTACTTTGTTTCATTGGTTTCTCTATGGATGGTGAAGTCCTCCAGATGGAATTTTCATGTTTGCAGATGGAATTATGCTGATTTCATCAAGCTCTAGAACATAGTAGAACCTCAGGAGGAGATTTGTAATGAACAGTGGCTATTGCCCTGGCTTGAACATGCATTATTTGAATGTGCATCATATAGAGCTTTTCCATCTATATATATATATATCTCTCTAGGACAGGCAATCCTAATTGGCAACAAGTTTGGCCCAGAGTCGAGTAGGAGGAAGAGAGTATATTAGATTGCTTTTGGTAAACTGCAAAGCTCCTTTACTGACCCCAAGCTTCCCAATCAAGCAAACATCCATATTTTTAATACTGAGATTCTCCCACTGTTGCATTATGATGGTTAAGACGTGGAATATGACTATCTCTGAAGAATTAAAAATAAATATCACACAGAGGGCAACAGAAAGATGCATGGTAGGTGTACAAAAGCGAAAACATATAACTAATGGGGAACTCCAAAGAAGGAGTAGAAGATGTCATCAAGGAATTGTATAATAAAAAGAGAAGATGGTCTGGTCATGTGGCAAGAACAAAAAATGACAGGTAAACAGCCAGAGTACTCCATTGGTACCCTCACAATGTCAAGAGAAAGTAAGGAGGTTCTCTAAGCACATGGGGTGATACTGATGGGATGACTTGGACGAGAGTCATATAGGATGTGGTAGGCATGGAAGGGTTGCAATCTGCATCATGGAAAGGAGCTCAAGAATTGATGAGGACACAGATCCATTGAATATGTCTCAGGCAGCTAGGTGACACAGTGGATAGAGAACCGGCCCTGAAATCAGGAGGATCTGAGTTCAAATCCTTCCTCCGACCAAACACTTGACATTTACTAGCTGTGTGATCCAGGGCAAGTCATTTAACCCTAATTGCCTAGAAAAAAAATCATATGTGTCTCTATAAAAAGTACAGTCTCAGTGATCACTTTGTTATATATCTGCTAGATATCATCATCAAACAAGGCATAAAACCGGGATTTGGTATACACCAAGATAGTCCAAATAGAACAAAGATTTCCTTTCAATGGTGATGTTTTCCAAGTGTTCCTGTTTGCAGAACAAGTATTCTGACTGCATCAGGCCTTCCAGGGCCATCTTAACAAGCTCTACTATTGCTCTAAAGATGCAGGCCTGGTCATTCACACTGGAAAACTGAAGGGTGGGAAAAATACATAATGAACAGGTTACCACAAGCAGTTTAAGGGCAACCCATGTAGTTAATCCATTACTGTCTCCATCATTATTAGATAGATTGATGTAAAATCTTAGACTAGTGCTGCTAAGGAACAGTGAGCTCTTTCCACAGTTAAATAAGACGTCAGGCTAAATCATGTTTGAGAAATTTTACAGCCTTCCCAGAACTGCTTCCTCCTACAAAAGCCTCTCTTTTTTATGATGTCAGTATTTTCTCAATGATACCCTATGGCTGTGAATCATAGAGCACTAAACACAGAAGAAACAAAATTGTGGGTGATCCACAGGGCAATGGACAAGATGCATGATACATGTAAGAAGCCTGTCTTGTACTACCAGTGGTTACTTACATGTGAGAATTAGTGTACGAATGGTCATCAAGAGAAGGTGTGGGATGGTGGATCCATTGTGTAAGGAGTAAAGGATAACCAGTGATGACCAGTGGACAGTCTGTATGCCTCAGTAGTGTCCATGGAATGTTCACACACACACACACACACACACACACACACACACACTCTCCCCAGCATGTTGGGTGGCTACCTTAGAGAGGATTTATCAGGAATCATGAACAAGAAGCTCTCAAGGTGATATACCTTTGATGGATTGTGATCTAAATGATAGAAAAAGTACATGCTTTGATGAGGCAAAGAATCCATTGAAGTATGGAAGTTTTCACTGAACCTTAAAATATCTGCACTTAGCATAGGTATTGAGCACTATATTTCTATCTACTCTATTCATGCAGAAAGTAAATTCCATTTGGCTCTGCAGCATTTAACTAGATGTAAGTCTATGATAGTTTTCCATGTGAACCCAACAATTTCCATTGTATCTTTAAAACATATCTTCAAAGCCCGAGTTTTTCTTTCACGGACATGTAAAAAATGTTAGTACAGCCCATGAATTAACCCATCACCTGTGTAGTAGATAAAAGACCAATTTGAATTCACATTTCTTGCATGTATTCAAAAATAACTCTAAAAACGACTTGCTCAATGAAGCATCCATTTGTAGCTCAATATGATAGTTTAAATTATAGGATACTGGAAGTGGGGGGCGGGGTTTTCCCTGTCAACTGTATCTGCCCAAGATATGCTTTCTGGTGGGAAAACAGTTTACATACCAGTAGACTTAGATTGAAGACATGTTTGCACAAATGCTATCCAAATGATTGCAGTTGGTTTAAACAAGCACTTTCCATCAGTCTGAGCTAATTGAAGTAGAATAATTATAACCTCTTGAGTCATAAATTAGAAAGGAGTAGGAGTAATAAATTCTTCCATATCCTTCGCTTTGGTTGTCTTCATATAAGGTGTCTCAGAAGTCTTGGTGTAATTTTAAACTATTGGAGCTCAAGATTTTGGGGACACTGTATATATCACAGTACTTTAAGGCACACGTAGCCTTTATTAATTCAAGTCAGTATTTGCTGACTCTGTTGTATATGGTTGTATACAGCATAGAATCACAGAACCTCAGATTTGGAAGGAGCCCTCAGAGGCCATCATGCATCTTTGAAGTATTGAAGTTTATTTGAAAAATGCCCTTCCTGAACAGGTATTTCCTCTTTAACTCCCTCCATAAGTGGGCCTTCAGCCTCTGCAAGACCTCAGGTGAGGGAGTACATATTATGGACCCTTTAATAGATTTTAATCCTTTAATAGACCTTTAATAGATTTGGGCACATTACTGATGAAACTACCATTTGTAAAACTGTAGTCCAGAATGGAAAGAGAGTTTTGATGATTGCTGTTTCTAGTTCTTATTTGTTATAAACATTGCTTGCTGATTGCAAAGAATGATGCCATTTTCCTTTTTTTCCAGCTTTCTCCCTATCTCATTTTCACAAGATTGAGTTATACACGGTTTCCTTTTAAAATATTAGTATAAAAACTATTTCCAGCCTATGAAGTATGAAACATAAGATTAATTGAAATGCCTTTTTGAACTGTCTTCACAATCATGTCACTGGGTAGTATGATGCAAAGTATTTATATTGACAGAAGAAAGGGAATTCTAACTACATATTTGCATGTCATATTTGAAAAGTTCCTCCACTAAATCCTCCTCTGATGCCTCATGGTGACATAAAAGGGACCCTGGGTTCTTGAAAACTAGACCAACAGAGTGCGAGCTCTTCCAGTTTGTCAAGCCATAAAGGCTTAGTGTTTAACTGCAGTGCTGGGCTGGCTGTTTGTTATCCAAGGATGTGCCAGGGTCCCTGGGATGACTGTTTCACCTTACAGAGGGGAATGAAGGAATAAATGATGAGTGCAAAAGTGTTTATTATATGCCAACCACTACGCTAGGTGCTAAAGATACAAAAGCAAGGACAATCCCTGTCTTCAAGGAGCATACCTTCTAATAGAGTAAGATAACACATATAAAGGAGTGCTAGCCAGGGAGGGATAGTTTGGCTTGAAAAATTACAGGGCATGTGATTAGAATCATAGGGGAATGAAGTGAAGTGTAGTTGTAACCCAAGCCTAGATGTGTAGTAGGTGATGGAGGCAACCATCAGTCAGTACACTGGAGCCTCAGGATGGGAGTTCCAGGCATTAAAAGATTAAGTCTTCCAGGACTTGGTTTCTGGTACAGGCAGCATGGAGTCTACTGAAGAGATGGCCTAGCTATGAAATTGGCCACTGGGTGATGCCTCAGGAATTTACAGAGATTGTTTGCTAAGGCTTAAAAAAGCTAGGCTCTGTACTGGTTGAGGGGACCCGTGCAACCTTGAAATATTGAGGTATATTTGAAAAGTGATTTTGAACAGCTTCTTTCTTCTTTTTGAAATAGAATATAGACACAACAGACTTAAATGGGCAAACACCACTCATGCTGTCAGCTCACAAAGTACTTGGGTAAGTAATGAACTTTATTGAGTTATTCTCAGTCTAATTCTTGATTCTTTTGCAAGTATGTATTTCATTAGGTCTGTGTAACTTTGAAATCTAAAGATGTCCTCCTAATAAAAGGATGATAGTAGAAGTATGACTAGACCTTCTGATGTAGTTGTATTTTGGAACACCACCGAAATGGTTTCTGAAAACATTAACTTATTATGATGAAAAATCTAATTTAATGATGATTAAAGCATTCAAATAGGTTGTATATTCAGTGGTGCAGACTCATTAACTTGACTTGTGCTTCTTAGTTTAGGGATGTGGGGGTGTTTTGTTTGTGTTTTTAATGGCTGCAGCCTGAAATCTAAATGATGAAATGCGGCTCTGCAAAGGAAAGGTATAAACCCCATAAATATTTTCTTTGAAGCCTCTCTGAATGTATTGTGGATACTGCATTAACGTTAAGTACAATTGATTTGGGAAAAATCCTTTTTTATATACAGTTCCATGAGGCATTTAAAACTTAAACTGTTCTGTATTTGTCACCACAAGTATGTAGGATTGATAACCATGTGATTGCTGGTGTTTTCTTTGTGCAAAAGCTCCATTCCTTACTGTTAGTGTTAGTGTTTTCCAACAGTCTGTCCTTCCATGGATCAACTGTCAGCTGTGACTGATGTTCTAGAAACCAAATTAGAGACGAGAAGCCCAATTTCTCTTGTAATGCTACTCATTTTATTTTTTAAAATGTTATTGATGCCTTTTATTTGAGTTCTCCCTTGTATCAAAGAAAATCAGTTAAGCAAAACTAGAAACCTTGTTCCGACAAGCATAATCCATACCTGTAGTGCCTCACCTGACTCTCAAGAAAGGAATTTCATCATCTGTTCTCCAAGGCCAAGATTTGTTCACCACGTTAATAACATCTACTTTACTTTACTTTTTTTATATTTTTGCTTATTTTTTTACATTACCTTTCATTTCCCAAAATATTCTTCCCCTCCTCTGAGAGGGACATTTCTTGTGAAGAAGAATATAAATGAAAAATAGCCCATATTTTATCCAAGTATAGCATTGTGTATAGTGTTCCATAACCACAGTCTCCAAGCTTTATAAATAAAAGAGGGAAGTAATGCCATCCATTTTAAATACCAAACATTTGTTGTTTTTGTCTTCTCTTTCTTTGTTTTATCAGTTTCCATGAAGCATAGTATCAATGCCATTATTTCCCTAAAAACTAAAAAAAGACTTTGCTATTTCAGTATTAGGCTCTCTGGGACATCCATAGTAGAAAGGGAGCAATTGATGATAATTGTGTAAAAATACTTGGTTTTCTAATCTATAAAATGAGGACGTTGAATTAGATGATTTATGAGGTTTTGTGTTTATTCCATTCAATTCTGGCCCATCATTTTAACATAGATTAAGATTAAGAGCTTCATATGAAGAGCTTCTCTTAATTTGTGTGTTCTGTTGAAAGTAGGTTAAATGTGAGCCATTATCATCAGCTTTAAGGGAAGCCATAGGAATTTCACTTTCATTACCACAAAAATAATTGTTTTTAACATTTAGGGCAGGCTTTGCATTCTGGGAAAACAATGGAGATATGATATTTGCCCTTTAGAGTTATGATAGCATTTAAGCTCTGCCAAGTGACCTTCTACAAAGATGAAATTTGGAATCATATCTTATACAACTCTACTTTGCCACAATCTCTAGAAAAATTCCTTGCCCATAATAAGTATTTCATAAATGTTTCTTGATTTGAGTTGCAAATTTCATTAGGCAAATTCATGAATTTTCACTAATGCACAACTCATCCGTTTTATTCTTTCTTGTATTGTTTGCTCTTATTTGGTATATCTTTTTACCCATTTATCTCCTATCTTTTCTCATTTCTCCAGCTAAACAGTAAACTCCTGGATGGCAGAGACTGTGTCCTATTCACACATTAATTAATTAATCAATCAATTAATTAATTAGTATATTCAATAATTACTATATTTTATTTTAAAATAAAATAAATTGTGTTTCTAAGTAACTATAACTATTAGTATATGTAGAAGCAATGTGGCATAAAAGATACAGGAGGCATCTAGGTAGTGCTATAGTGCAGAGAATGCTGGGCCTGGAGTGGAATCAGGAAGACCTGAATTCAAATACAGCTTCAGACATATACTATGAAAGAGGCCACTCTCTGCCTCATTTCTTTTTCTTTTTCTTTTTCTTTTTTTTTTTTAGCAATTGGGGTGAAGTGACTTGCCCAGGGTCACACAGCTAGTAAGTGGCAAGTGTTTAGTCTGAGGCTGGATTTGAACTCAGGTCATCTTGACTCCAGGGCCGGGGCTTTATCCCCTGCACCACCTAGCTGCCCCTCTGCCTCATTTCTTATTAAGCCTTAATCACTGAATGGATATTGGCTTAGTCAAATTGAGACCTGTTAAAGACCCTAGCTTAAAAAGGCCAAGGTCTCCCACTGCATCCAGGGCCATCTCCACTCATCCTGATCGATCTGGCCACTGGACCCAGATGGCTCCGGAGGAGAGAGTGAGGCTGGTGGCTGCATAGCCCTGCCTCACTTAATTTCAGTTTACATGCATGTCACGGCATCACCTCCCTGATGTCACGGTCCTTTTCAAGAACAAAGGACAAACAACAACAACAGCAGACACTAGCCTTGTGACCCCAGACAAATCACTTAACTTGTCTGCCTCAGTTTCCTCAACTGTAAAATGGGGATAATAAAACCAGGATTGTTGTAAGGATCAAATGAGATGACAATAGTAAAGGGCTGAGCACAGTATCCAGGCACACGGTAGGCACTATCTAAATGCCAGCTATGATGATGATGATGACTGGGTGTAGAGTTAGAAAGACGTAGGTTCAGATCTCACCTCTGACACTATGGCTCTGAACAAGTCACTTAGCATCTCTGTGCCCTAGGCAGCTCCCTAGGACTTTATCTAGGAATAGATCTAGGTTGGTAGAGAGAGTTCCCTCTGCAGATGAAATCCCATCTCCTCTGTATGTGTGTGTATTTATAAACAGATACCATTGGAGTGTATATTCCATACCACCTAGAACAGGATGTTGTAGGTGCCTGATAAATACTTCCCTGTGCATTAGTGGGAAAGATGTAAGTAATTCCCCAGTATAAGTTGTCTTCTGCTAAATATATTGTGGTACTTATCTTTTTTTTAATATGCAGACCAGAACCCACTGGATTTCTTTTAAAGTTTAATCCTTCTATCAATGTGGTAGATAAAGTTCACCAAAACACTCCACTCCACTGGGCAATTGCAGCAGGAAATGTTAGTGCTGTTGACAGACTTTTACAAGCTGGTTCCAGTCTGGATATCAGAAACAGCAAGGTATGAATAAGTATTTATCTCTCATTAATTGTATCTTTGGCTAGAAAAGCGATAAATCAGTAGGCATATATAATGAGACAGACTTTTGTCTCCATTTATCACAGAGTAAATGAGAATAATGGACAAACATTACATGGTTTCTCCTTTTGAAAAAAAAAAGAGTTTATGATTATGATGATTCAGAGAAATGCACAGTATGCAAGATGTTTAAAAATATAACTAGTTTTCCTGTTCTCTTTTTTTCAGGGAGAAACACCACTTGATTTGGCTCAGAAAAACAGACATCGTCTGATTATCCACATGCTAACAGTGGAAGCTAAAATAAGAGCAAACAAAAACTTAAGACTTTGCAGGTGGCTACAGAAATGTGAGGTATTTCAGAGCCCATTTGTTGAACATAGTAATTGAAGTTTAAGGTCATAGAGAAAAATTCCAAGGAGAAATAGTGTCAAGTCATATTTTTCTTGGTAATTATTAGGTGCTTGTGGTTTTCCTTAGGAAAATTACTGAGGACTAGCAATTGACATAAAAAAACTTGAAGATTACCTGACATTCAACTTCTGGTTTTTCTGTGTTCTTATACATTTTTCAATGAACTTCTAAGAGCCCTGAAAAAAACAAGATTTGGCTCATTGATTTAAGAGACACAGTTTCCCATTATCCAGAATGGTTGACAAAGTCTAAATTAGAGCAGTCAAATTCAAATTGTGCTTTCTGTTGAGAAAAGGTAAAGCTATATATCCAGATGCCTCCTTTAAGCTCATATTTCCAAATGAGAGATTTCATCTTCCAGATGTAGCCATCTAATATACATGTAGTAATAGTAATTGACACTTTACATTTTCTAAGTGGTTCATAATCAGCAGACTTGGCATTCTTCTGCATCAGGCTATTAAGAATATTATGGTTGTGATACATTTGGGTGAATTGAGACAAAGGAATAAGTGATATGGCTCATCTTAGGCCTTTGCTCTGTGAATGGGAGATTTAGAATTAGAGTTTAGAAACCTAGATTTCATCATTATTCTCATGTTCAGACTACACTGATTGTGAACTTCAGAGTACCTGGAAAGAACCTTTTTTTTCAACCAGAGCTCACTTGATTTGTATCGTAACATGTATTACAATTGAAAGAGAAGAATCAGGTGAACTGGCCTCCAAGTCAGGAGGCCCAGGGTTTATGTCTCTGACATGTACTGGCTGTGGGACCTGTCAAGTGGTGCCCAAAGAGCTCTTTAAAACTCTTAAAGCAAAGAGCAGGTGTCGATCTACTTTAGAAGAGGGCATTTCTTCTTGAAGTGTTCTTCATACCAATGAAATCACAAGTTTGGGCCAAACAAAAAATTTAGAGTTGGAAAGTGCTTTAAAGAGAGTTTCAATGTAGCTGAGATTCTTCAACCCCCAGGGCCTGACTAGACTGTTGGCCAAGGTGGAACAAAGTGGGTTTCTCCTTTTTGGGGTTATAGAGGTTCCATCTGCCTTATAAATACAAGGTGAATTCTCAAAAGAGATGTGACGCCCAGATTTGGCTCAGCCCTGCTCCAGACACAGCCACAGAATCTACAGAAGGGCCGTCTCTCTGGCCCAGACTGAACTTGGTGGGCCTGGTTGCCCAACAAACATCAAGCAGGATCCTAGGATGATCAGGCCATAGGGGTGATCAATTAAATTTTTATTGGAACATTTTCTTAAGCTGAGCTTAATTTCTTGGAGAATCTGAACTAGAGTGATTTTCCTATCTAACTTTATGTTTTGGGAAATGTGCTTATCTCTATTTATAATTATGTGTGAATTATATGTTTTTATATGCACCCACTCACATATATGTGAGAATATCTATGTATGTATGTATGTATGTATGCATGTATGTATATGCTTGTCTTCCTCATCAGTGTGTATATGGAAAACTATACCTAGGTGAAATGTTAGGTTCACTTGATTTAGATTTACAAGTTTATTACTTGAAGTCATTAGCCTTCAGTTAGACTATATTGCTGCCAGATGAACAAATAGTAGCCCTGTGTGGTCTGAACAACCGGACTTAGATGTAGATGTAGCTAATGGAGAAAGATTAGCATGCTTTTCTAGACAACCCTTTAAAAAATCAGTTTTATATCTGAACATAGCTATATTACTAAATATTTTTAAAAGGTGTTTGTTCTACACAGCAAGTTTCAAAGAAAACAATGCTTAAGTACAATCAAATACCTTGCTAATCCTTAACTGTTGGGAAATTATTCCAACTATAATTTTATACAAAAGCATTGGGTTAAAAAAAAAAAGGTCCCACTGTAACTCATCAGGGGAAGATCCTTGCCACTAGTTCCAGACTACTTTAACATCAGAAGTCTGGTTGCTTTTCAAAGTCATGGCTACAGACCCATCCAAACTGACCCGCTTGTTCTTCCATCTCCTATCACAATGCGTGGGCAGAATCTCTGCCTGGAGCGCAGCCCTCCTCAATTGTACTTTCTAGAACCCTTCTTCTGGGTTCTGCTCATGTGCCATCTTTATGAGAAGCCTTTTTTTTATTTCCTTGTTTAGTGTTTTGTTTTCCTTTCTTCAGATTGCCATGTATGTGCTTTTTTGTTTACAAGTGGTTTACTGCTAGGAGAATGAAGTTCCTTGAGGGCAGGAACTGTTTTTCAGTTTGTTTTTGTGCCTTCAGGACCAAACATAATATCTTGTACTTTTCTTGTTTTTCTGGACCTGTGATTTCACAAAAGTAAGGAACTCCCTGTATGTAGCCCTCTTTCAGTGATGTAGACAGCATCTGTAATTTCTGTCTTGGAAAGTCCCCAGGACACTGTGAAATTGAGTAACCTGCCCACAATCATGTAGCTCATACCTTTCACAGCCAGGGCCAAGCCCATGTCTTCCTAGCTCTCAGTTAACCGTACCATGGGGCCTCTTTTTCTTGCACAAAGTAAGGGCTTAATAAATGCTTACTGGATTGGATTTGAATTATTCTTACCACTGCTGTCCTTAATAACTAGTGCCTGGGTAATTCCCTGGTTTCACATCCCTTGTCCTTATAATTTTTTTCCCTTATTGTATGCAGAACAGAGAGATTAGAGTTACATGGTAGATCTCTGTGTGAAACCCTTGAATGAAAACTAACAGCATGACAGACCCTGGGACTATTTTTTCTGCAAATAAAGGTCTTTTTATTTAGTTATATATTTGGAAAGAATTATGAAACTGCTTTCCTCCATCTTTTGACTTCCTTAAATAGGTCTGCAGTTAATTGTGTTCCTGTTAGCAACCATCACTCTTGTATTATTCTTTCTATTATAGAAAATTATTTGAAAGTTTATAGTTACCCAAAACCAACTTATGCTTGAAGTGTTTTTCTAAAACAGGTAATATTTCTTACAGAAAAAAATACATTTTAAGCAACATCTAAACACAAAACTCAACAGGATTTTGACATAAAGTAACAATGGTTTCACCTTAACTTGTAGGCATTTTTTAGTTTATGATTTAGCAATCAGTCTACAGGAAGTTTCTTGTATCACTGCTGTTCTTAAAGTAATTATTATTGACATGAATCCTATAAGGAGTATAAAAACTGGGGCATGTTTTACCTATAGTATTTTAATTATGCATATTTTAATAGCTTTTCCTGCTGTTGGCACTTTCCACGATTACAATGTGGGCAATAGGATACATAATGGACCTCAATTCAGATTCTTGGCTTTTAAAAGGAAGTCTTCTCGTTGCAGTATTTTTTGTTACATCTTTATTTCCAAGGTATGTTCGCTTTTTCCTGACTTGCTATCATAATGGCTGTTCATTCATTGCTTGGCTGGATACAGACCAGCAGAGCTAGGGTGGGGCTGATTGTCAGAGGACCCAGACAACACTTGTAGTCCTTTGGCAGATAGAAACAACCAATTATACTTAGTTAGCAAGAACGGCCTGCTTCCTCCCTCAGTGACCACTCTCTGCACGAGCCATTTCCCTCCTCACTTTGCTCCTGCCTTCAGTTTGCTTCCCCAGGAGTGTCCTGGAGTCTCCTCCCTCCTGGGGGGCCTTGTGTCCTGATGATTTTCCTCAAGGCTTCCCTTTCCCCCCTCCTTCAACCGAACTTATCCTAAGTAATAATATTTTTATTTTTTATTTTTAATTCAATTTTATTTTATCTTCATATCTGCCTTTTCTCCTTCCCAGATCCATTTCCCTCCTTCCCTCATTGAGAAAGCAAAAACAAATTCCTGCACTAGCCATGTCAAAAAAAAAAAAAAGAAAGAAAGAAAGAAAAAGAGTATCATTCTGCACTCTGAAATTAAGGGATCACTTTGAGAGCATCTGTCGTGCTGCTTGCCTCAGTGTGTGTGTGTGTGTGTGTGTGTGTGTGTGTGTGTGTGTGTGTGTGTGTGTGTGTGTTGCTTGCCCTAGGTCCCAGAGTCAGTAGTTGTGGCTCTACTTCTTGTCTGGGTTTATGTCTTTTCCTAGAAATGTGAATGTTAATAACCCACGTAATTAAATCCTGAGGGCCAGTGGGACGGGTGAGCTTCATGCCATGTTTTTCACTGGGGAACCAAGGCTGGCAAGATTGACTGGCCTGGCATCTGTTGTTTCTCCAGGCAGCAGCCCACTCTTATCATTATTTAAAGGAAATCATCCCGTTGCATTCACCTTTCTCTGCCTTCCTCCCCTTTGCCAAAGCATGGCTGCTTTGTTGTTTTGGAGAAGTCGAAGGTCATGTATGAAAGGCTTACAGCCTTTTCTTTCAACATGTGTGTGACTAATCTGCTTGACAAAAGTGGGTGAGAATCTTCATGTCACTTGGGAAATTCTGAATGTATTAAGTTTATGTCTTCCTGTGGAGGTGACTGAAATACGGAAATGCTTAGGGTCTACTCCGTGTGTGGTCAGGGAAATAAGATAAATACAAATAAAGAATATTTGTTATCTACTAGAATATGTTTTTATATAAAATACTATTTTTACATAGTATTTCTACTCTGGCATTTAAATACTAGAACAATTTTGTAAAAATTTGTCATTGTACATAAAATATGTGAAAGCATTTGGACATTGAGATATACAAGCAATCATAGAATTGGAAAGGACCCTAAAGATCATCAAAGCCAATTTCCTAATTTTACAGATAAAAAAACCTAAGGCTCAGAGAGATGAATTGACTTATGTAAGTCAATGGATTTGGAACAGTGAAAGAGACTCAATGATTTATTGCTTTGTCAGTGAAATAGGAGGACAAACCACTGGTTAGGTACTTTGACAGCAATTTAGAAATATATGATTATACCTAAAACATTCCATATATTTTAGCTTCATAATTCTTTAAAACAAAACAAGTCTAGATGACTTGATAAAAATGTGTGAAAGTTTTAGGTTGTGGGCAAAAAAATATTTTCTCTAAGAATTAAAAAAATACTTCTTTGTGGGAATGGGGGGCAGAAATAGAAGTAACTATTGACAATGCATGGAATTTTCCATTACCATTTTTATCTTTATATCCTCAACACCTAGAACAATGTCTGACATATAGGGGGCACTTACTAAATGTTTGTTGGTTGGTTGATCATGCTCTCTAGAAATAGGTTTTCCTTTTTTCCCCCCCAGGTTCCTGGTGGAGCATAAGAATCTCAAGTATTTGCCAGCCCTTATTTTGCTGAGCTCCATTTTTTGGATATCCCTGACGTGGTTCATGTTATTTTTGCCTGATATCCTTTGTGAGAACTAAATTATGTTTTTTATTTTCATCCAATGCCAGGTTAATTTCTCTGCCCTCAAAAAGAAGTTATCCTTATTCTCAATTGAGTATCAGATGAAATTCAGGGAAGGAAATTGAAATGCACATCTGTTTAAAGCAGGGGTCCTTATCTGGATACTTTGAAAAAAATTTTGATAAATCTATTTCAACAGAATTGGTTTCCTTTGTAATCTCAGGGATTTAATTTTATTCATTTAAAAATATTACTCTGAGAAGGGTTCCAGAGGCATCACCAGGCTGCCAAAGACACCCACAACACAAAAAAAAGATTAAGGATACCTGCTTTAAAGATTCTAATTGAGGGGGTTTCATGCATGAAAAACATGTTTTTACCTTCTGAAAGAAGACTCAGAATGCTGTGGGAACAGAAGGTACCCAGGTTTTTTATTATTTAGAACAGTAGCATGAGATAGTACATTTTAAACTGTTGCACATAAATATGGTTGATTTCTTAAATATGTCCCTGGAGTGGTTTTATCACTTAACTTGGCCAGGAATTTTGTACAACAGGGATTCTTCAATGAATAAATCCTCTGGGAACAAAACACCCATTAACAAAATCGATGTAGTCTTGGAAGAATTTGGGAGACTTTCTTGTCTCTTCATTGTTTTATTAGTGATAAAAGCAGCTAAGAATGAGGAGACAATAAGTCTTTCTTAGATACAGAATTCTTGTGGAGGTGAAAGGCCAGACAGACCTGCCTGAGCACAGATGTCAGTTGTGGAGGGAGAAGGAGAGGAAAGGAAAAAGCATTTAATTACCCTATGTGCCAGGTTCTATTAAGTAATTTACAATTATTATCTCCTTTGATCTTCACAACAACCCTAGATTGTAGGGCGGTGATTAGCTGCTGTGATTGCCATTTTTGCAATTGAGAAACTGAGGCAAACAAGTTAAGTAACCTGCCTAGGATCACATAGCTAGGAAGTGCCTAAAGCTAGATTTGAATTCAAGTCTTCCTGACTCAAAGCCCAGCACTCTATCCGCTGTAACACCTAGCTACATCTGTAATTTGAAAGACTTAGTCGTGTAGGAAAGGGGAAGGCTCCACTCAGGTGACAGCCAGTTGCAACAATCACCTGACAGGCAGCTACTGGAAGAGAGATGAGAGTTTATTTCCATGTAGGCCCCAGAGACTTCAGGAATCATAGCCTCCATTGCTGAAAAGGAAGAGAGGAACAGTGAACCTTTCTGAAACTCAGATGGGAAGAGATTAGGGTCTTGAAATACATCCCTGTGTTATTTCTAATTATGGTCATGAGATTTCTGACAATGTCCCTGGGGTGCATCCTCTTTGTTACCAGAGACATAACATGGTGATTGGAAATGAGTTGAGTTTACTTAGACCAAAGATACTTAAACACTTTTAAATCTGAATATAATACAAAATACGAAAAAATACAAAATATAATACAAAATAAAAAAATTGTCCACCTACTGGTGGACAGGCAGACCTGGTAGGGTATTATAGCTGATGAGATGGAATACTTCATTTCCTTGTCCGGAGTCCATCTTGGTACGTAGTTGTTCCTAAATATTAAATGTAAAGTTTACTGTTCACGAGAGGCTCTGGGTAAATCACTAGATGGCATACTTCTTCTTCAGATAAATGTGATTTTTTTTTTAAAGCAATGAAGCTGACCTGCATATACCCTTTGGAAGTTTTCTTCGTGGGCTATGTATTCCATAGTCTTATTTTCCCGTCAAAAATGTCCAGTGTTTGTTCAAATTCAGATTCTTCACGTGGGTGTTATTTTTTTTTAAATTTTTATATTTTTTTCAATTATATATGAAAACAATTTTTAACATTTTTTTTAAATTTTGAGTTCCAAATTCTCTTCCTCCTTCTCTCCTATCCCCCCTCTTTGAGAAGGTAAGCAATTTGATATAGATTGTATGTGTGCAGTCACGCAAAATTTATTTCCATATTAGTCATGTTGCAAAAGAAAACACAGACAATTAAAACCCCAAGAAAAATAAAGTTTAAAAAAGTATGCTTTGATCTGCATTCAGACTCCATCAGTTCTTTCTCTGGAGGTAGATAGCTTTTTCATCATAAGACCTTTGGAATTGTTTTAGATCATTGTATTGCTGAGAAAAGCTAAGTCAATCACGGTTGATCGTCATACAATATTGCTGTTACTTTGTATGCTGTTACTATGTACTATGTGCTATGTTCTCCTGGTTCTGCTTATTTCACTTTGCATCAGTTCATAATCATCAGGTCTTTCCCAGTTTTGCTGAACCCAGTAGATGCTATTTTTAATGCACATGCAGCCTCTGTGTAGACATCACTTAGAAGACCATTTTGTGGTACACATGTAGGTAATATACTTTTTCACTAACCCAACAAGCATTCATTAAGCTTCTGTCACCCACAGGATTCTATGACATCAGTATTGTTCTACTTGGGGTATGTCTTAAAGAAGGTTAAGCATTTTTGCCCTCGAGCAGTTTATAATCTGGTCAATAAAATAGAACTGACATATGCAAAATTATTAGGGAACAATTAAGTGAAAGATGGAGTGGTATTAATAATAAGTACAGTGGGGATATAAGCATCACGAAAGAGATTAGACTTAAGCTGGGCCTTGAAGAAGGATGCAGAATCCAGTCTGACAGTGACAGAGGATGTAAAGAAAGGTTTGTCATCCCATGTTTCTCCTCCCAAGCTGTTACTTTAGTTTACCTTCCGTGATTCTTTTGTTGGGCTTTTGTGACTGTGACAGGAAAATTCAGTTGATCTTGTTTGAACCGGGTCATCTTAAAGTTACCCAAGCAGTAGAACGAGTACTTCCAGGGAAGCTGCTTGTAGATGTAGCTTAGTTTAAGTTATGCCACATCGATGTAAATCTGGTTTTACAGGAAAAAAAAATTAAGGGTGACTCTGCTTTTCACAGTGACTCACTTTAGAGTTCCCTTAAATAGTGAGTGATCTTATTTTATTTAAAATATGATTTAATTTGCAAAGAAAAAATCAGTTTATATATAGTTTATCTTTTTTTTTCACATTTCAACCAGATAACTTAGGTCTTGTGTAAAGAGGTGGGCGAGATGAGTATTTGGAAGTCAGAAGCTGTTACTACTAATACCTTTTATGTTGTTAGTCTGCCTGCAGCTAGTTTATAAAAACTGAAGTATCTAAGCCTCCTAGGCAGTGTTTCTAAATTGGTCTTTATTTTTTGCAGCAGCAAATGTATTGTAATGAAGGAGAGCAAAGAAGCCAGAGACCCCACCTGGCCCTTCCTTTCAATGCACTCAACTCTGTAGTAACAGTATGAAGATTCTGTACCCCACGAGGGCCTGACAGGTCGTACATAGATTCCATGAAGACCTACACACACTATAGGGAGTGGTTGGTTAGTTATGGACACATCAGGAGCTACTCACTCTATACCTCTGGCCACAATGGCTTTGCTGCTGCCCTAACCTGCCATCATTTCCACACCCACAGACTATGGGCAAGTGGGAGTAGACACACTCTCTTTTGTGAGCCAGGATTAGTCTTTAAAACACAACCCCATCCTTTCCTAAAAGACCTGACATGGAAGGCCTTTGTTGTGAGAAAACTCCAAGGGGAATGCCGAGGTGCTAGCTTGGACACTTCTGAGAGAGGAAAGGAGGCTGCTGATGGGGAGCTATCCATAGTTCAAGACAAGGTTCCATGTTTGGAGATACCCTCCTTGCAGATAGGATAAGGTAATGGCCTTTCCTGGATTGCCACAGGAGGATGCTTGTTGTTGGCCTGTCACGACCAGCCATGCCTTTTCATTATGTGTACTTCTTGGTCCTATTGATCCTCCACAGAGGGTCTGCCCAATGGTCAAGAGGCCTTCCCCTAAGTTTTTGTTTAATTGTTTTCACGAGTCTGTATGTGTTTTATTACATTTTGTCAGTTTAACACTTGAATCCAGGATTAAACAGAGAGTGGAGAGGAGACTAGATTGGCTTTAGGGAACTGAGATATTATTTTAGTGACTCCAAAATTCTCACTGAAACAATAGCCCATCGTTTTAATACCAGTATACTTCTGTGATGTATAGCTATGAGTCATGGAACAAAATACCTTCTGAAGAAATAAAAGGAATGCTGCTCGGAGGGCAGTGGAGAGGTACCTCATGGGTGTGTGCTGGCTATAACATATTACAAGTATGGAACAACAGTACAAAATTGAACTGGAGAGCCCCCATATAAGTCTTAAAAGCAGAACTATAGACGAGCCACAGTGAAAGGTGCTAACCATTTCCTATGCTTATTGTTCAACCACAATTGTGGCCATGTGGCCTCTGGATTTTAGGGTATGTTTTTCATAACTCAATTTCTACCCCCAGTCCCTTAGAACGACATTTTCTGTGCCATACAAGAGTCCTAACAGTAGAAACTCTAGAAAGACTATGACAATCACTGGATGTCAGGAGACTGACTTTTTTTGATCATAGTCAAAATTAGTGTTATAATCACTGTCATCACTTTGTCTCAGTGACAAAGCTTTGTTGTTTTATTTTTGTATTTCAAAAGAGAGATTTATCTACTTAAGAATATATTTTGTGTTAAGCCATCTGATCTCTGCTGGCCATTTCTAGTAGTTTTTTTTTTCCCTCCAAATAAGCTTACCATAATATTATTACTTATACTGCAGTGATTAAGTGGAACTCTGACCTAAGCAGTGTGTGTCCCTGCCCCCAACAACCCCCATCACACCCCATCCACACTTTACTTGGCCCTTTGTGCTTCTTGCCCCTGTACTGTAAATCCTCCCCATTTGGTCTCTCCAGCTAGTTGAGGGCCTTCCTCTTTTATCTCTTGGCATTAGGAGGATACCAATGTAGTGGTAAGGCCTTTCTAGCTGTTATCCCTCCCTCACATGTTGCAAGGCATTCATTCTCCTGAATGCACTAAAGCCTATTTACACCCACTCATTCAGCTCTCCATTGTAATACTGTTACACGGATTAGTAAATATGAATTGTACTGTCATCTAACATAAGTACATTTTTCAAGCTTATCTAACATACATAGAAGCTGATTATATTTGAATTTTTTTGCAAAGAATATGCTTCTTTAGATTAACTACAGAAGCTGCCTTTAAATGGTTTTGGTGTAATTATCAATAAAAGTAGATTTCCCTTCCTTCTTCCTTCCACTTTTCTCTCTCTCTAACTTCTTCCCCTGCAGTGTCCAAATTAGAGATTCATTTCTTCTGTTCTTTAGAGGTTTTATAGTTTCTTGGAGGTCAATGAAAAAATGCCAATATTTCCAGGTAAAGTAATGCCTTAAGCTATTATTAGATACATTTTGTGTGAATGGGGGGTGTTGTGTTGGGGGAGAGATGAATTAACTAACTACTAGCTGAACAACTGGGTGATTGGATAGACCCTGATGGGAAGAATATAGTACTGAAAGGAGAAAGGGGAGGGTGATACGCAGGCTCACCCCCATCACTTCCATTTGGCTGGCTAGAATGTTGAATCCTATGTTCCTTGACCTGGTTTTTACATTTAACAGGCACCACTGTTCAGATTTCTTTCTTTCTCAGTGTGATTGGCCTCCTCTACTTTTTCTACAAAACCTGGGTCACCAATCCTGGCTACTCTAAGACTTCAGAAGAAGAAAGGAAAATGGTAAATTCTTTAAGTAGCTCCATTGATCTCTCCTTTGGTTTGAAATATAGCTGTGGAATTTCTCATTTTGTTTCATTCTGTGTCCATTTATTATCAACAACCAAACTTTTGTTAGTGGATTGGACCTGAGTTTCCCATTAATCTTTATAATATATTTGGTGTTTTAAATCTTTTTTTTTTCATTTTTCATGTTTATAATCAGATACACATCCAGTTCTATTAGGAAACAGTTGTGGTTAACTGAGGCAGGTGGGTGGCATAGTTAATAGAGTGTGGCGCTTCAAGTCAAGGAGATTTGAGTTTAAATCCTGCCTCCAACACTTACTAACTATAGGACCCTAGGCAAGTTGCTTAATCCCTCTGGGCTGAGTTTATTCAACTGTAAAAGGAAGGGGTTGGATTTGATAAGTTCCCTTCTAGCCCAAAATCAGTGATCAATGATTTCTGAATATTTTAAGCCTTTCCTGGGGTAGTCCCTTCCTCTCCACTTAGATGGGACTGCAACCAGAGTACTTACTTACCAGTAGGACCTCTCTCATCATTTGTGAGAGAGTAACAACTGTGAAGTTGCCAGTGAAGTGTCCTTTTAGCAGGTTGGCGAAAGCACTTCAGACCTTTGCTAGGAAGTCTGTTGCTTCCATAAAATCAAGAGCAAATATGACTTACAGTTCCACCTTCTCTCTTAAAGGCTGACTTTGTCCAATAATCAGAAGAGGAAGAGAATTGTCATAGGGTTGGTATTGCAAATCTATATGCATCTAGATTTATAGACTACAATAGAAAATGTAGTCTCGAAAAGTTATAAATTTCCAATGTGTAATGATTTGCTAGTAACTTTTTCAAATTGTTTTCTTTCTACTTGTCTGTGAAGTGGTACTTAGCTATACATAATTAGATAAGAAACAAAATCATAATGCCATTTTTTATGCTTTTCAGAATATCATTGCCCTTGCAGAAGCTGGTTGCCTGGATTTCAGAACATTTTGCACAACCTGTCTTGTAAGTGAACCTCTTCTGTGTATTCTTTTTCTCAATAAAAGCAAACTAGTGAGATGGCATTATTGGAAGGTTCACTATTCTGTTTTCCATTTGGAACATTTTGTAATGTTCCTATGTTCCTTTATTTTTACCAAGATCTAATTTTTAAGTAATATCAAAAAGATCATGTGCCACGAAAAGGTTTTATAAATACTATGTAAGGGGCAGCTAGGTGGTGCAGTGGATAGAGCACCAGCCCTGAAAGTCAGGAGGACCTGAGTTCAAATTCAGCCTCAGACCAAACACTTGACACTTACTATCTGTGTGACCCTGGGCAAGTCCCTTAACCCCAATTGCCTAATAAATAAACAAACAAACAAACAAACAAATAAATACTGTGTAACTTATATACATACAACTTACCTGTCCTAGGAAGAACACTGGGTTTGAAATCAGAAGGCCTGTGTTTGAGTCTTTGTTCTGCTGTTTTAATACCTGGGTGACCTTGGTCATTTAACCTCTCTGAGCCTCAGCTTTTTCATCTTCAAAATAAGTGGGTTTGGGGCAGCTAGGTGGCACAGTGGATAAAGCTCGGGCCTTGGAGTCAGGAGGACCTGAGTTCAAATCCAGCTTCAGATACATGACACTAGCTGTGTGACCCTGGGCAAGTCAATCCTGATTACCTCACCAAGCAAACAAACAAAATATGTGGGTTTGACTTAGTTGGTCTTTGAAAACCCTTCCAACTTTAAATACTATGAACTTTCGATTATCCACTTCAAAAATTACCAATGACTTTTGTTTGTCCCTGGTAAACTTCCCTCTGCTACGCAGCTTGTATTCAATTATCCACTATGGCTTGCTCAAGAAATACAAACTATATGTGGTTATGATAGAATACTATTGTAATATAAGAAATGATGAGCAGGATGCTCTCAGAAAAACCTGAAAAGATTTACATGAACTGATACAAAGTGAAATGTACTGTGTACAAAGTAACAGCAATATTGTAAGATGATAAGCTGTGAATGACTTAGCTCTTCTCAGCAATACAGTGATCCAAGACAACTCTGAAGGACTTATGAAAAATACTATCTACCCATAGAGAAAAAACTAATGAAGTCTGAATACAGATTGAAGCATACTTTTTAACTTTATTTTTCTTGAGTTTTTTTCTTGTCTATGTTTTCTTTCACAACATGACTATTATGAATATGTTTTGCATGACTACACATGTATAACCTATATGGAATTGCCAGCCTTCTCCGGGGAGGGGGGAGAAAAGAAGGGAAAGAATTTGGAACTCAAGAGTTTTAAAAACAAATGTTAAAAATTATTTTTACATGTAACTGGGGAAAAATAAAATACTAAATAAAAGCTTAAAAAAAGAAATAAAAAGTAACTTTTATATAACCTAATCAACACAGAATCATGATAGTAAATCTACTGCCCTAAATTCGAGGTAACTTTCTAGAGTCAAATTGATGTTTTGTATAATCTACACCATTATATCCCTTCATTAATAATAATTGACATTAATATTTAGTCTATAATTTGAAAAGCATACTACTTCCTTTGGAATCACTCAGAATCATAGAATATTAGAGCTGGAAAATCATCTAGTCCAATCCCCACATTTTCAAGTGAGGGAATTGAACCCAATATAGGAGAAGGAACTTGTCTCATGTCAATCAGAAAGTCAATGGCAAATAAATATTTACCAAACCTACAGAATGTTTTTCTAGGGCTTTTTCCACTATGAGAAGTTGAAGCATTAGCTATCCTTCAATTAATGCACAACTTGAGTGCTTACGTGTCAGTATTTCACTGAGGTCTCTTGCCCTCCCAATTAGGTAAAGAAACCATTAAGGTCCCTCCACTGTCAGCTCTGTAATTCCTGTGTGGCTCGATATGATCAGCACTGCCTATGGACTGGACGCTGTATAGGTGAGATTGCATGTCCATGTCTGTTCGGGCACATGGGCACACATGTATACACATTTAATTAAAAACAGCAAACTAATCCTCTGTAATTGGCATATGGAAGATAAAGGGATATGTTTTGTTAGTCCTTTCTTATTAAACAGGACATCTCTTGGGAAACAGGAATGTTGAGTCCTCAGGGCTTGTAAAAGGGGTCAGGGGCCCCAACCAGCTTCTCCACTTGCTCTCCACCCGTTCTGCGGGTAGGAGACCCAGAGGCAGCCATAGACCAGGGCTGGTTTCTCTTGGGCATCTTCTTGTGCATTTTGCTCCATCCACAGACCTTTGTTTCCCTTGCACTGACTGCCCCTTTGCAACATAAGAGGGAGGTATCTCAGGAGTAGTACTTAGCTATTGCAATATGGCAGTTGGCTCTTTTTTCTCTGTGTTTATTATACATCCACCAACCCCTTTTCCTAAAGTTTATATTCTCCATTCCATTGGTCAGGGTTACTTTTGTTGTTGATTTTAACCATATTTAACATGTACAACAGGGTTATTGGAGGGAAGGGCAGACTTAAATTCACATTGGGTTCCATACTTCCCTAGGAATGGCTGACAGCAAGATGATGCAACTGTTTGCTTTTGTCTTAATTATTGTTTGATGGGATGACCTTATTTGTATTTCACTTCATAAAAAGCCTTTGATAGTAAAATATTAATTATTTTAAAATGGGAAAAAATTAAGAGGAAATTATTCAGTATTTCATTTCTTTTTTGAATTCAGGTTTTGGAAATCATCACTATTATATATTCTTCTTAATTTTCCTTGCCATAGTCTGTGACTGGATGCTATATGCAACTCTTCTCTGTAAGTATGGTTGGTTAGTTGGTTTTTTTCACACATTGGTCCATCCACCCATAGCCATGATGCCATAGCCTCTCCAATTACTTTTGTACCATTCTGCTTAGGTGCTGGTAAACCACACAACTTCCCTAAAGGCTCTTCTAGTGATTAAATAAGATAAAATGAATATAAAGTGCTTTATATTTAAGGTGCTACATAAATATGTGCTACAAATTTAAGGTGCTACATAAATATGAGGTGTTATTATTGTTGTCATTCAAAAATGGCTGTCTCTGGAACTTCATCAATTGTAGATGTCATATAAAGTAAGGGTATTGTTTATCAAGTTTCAATCATAACCTAATGATTGAATGATGAATGTGCTCTTTGGATTGGCTAATGGCGCCAAGCTAAAAGAGATTTCTCAGTAAACTTAAAACAGATGAGAATTTAAAGTGTTCTTGTCAAATTGGAAAAATGATTGGAAATACAAGTTCAGGGAGGGCAGGCCACCTGGGGAAAGAAGACTAACTACCAGAATTGCGGATGAGAAAGAACCTGCTTGGAGCAAGTGTATTGGCAAAGAATGATGGAAAACCTGTTAAGTCTAAACTGACTGATAATTTAAGAGAAACAAATATGATTCACAGATGGGAATATAGATGTAGGAACTTAGAGAGAATGGGAAGGATCAGGAACTAGTAGCCTGTGAGAAAAAGAAAAACAAACAAACAAAAAAAACCCTAACCCTGTAGCCTGGAACAAAGAAAGCTGTGAGAATTTAATAACATTTTGAAAGAACAGTGGCCTTTTACAAAGGATACTAAGCAGTTCTCCATTTCTCTTGTAGACTGATCAAAAGGAAATTGGTTTACATTAAATCAGGATGGACTTTGTTTATATCTTTAAAACAACTTTTTGAGTATTTCTCATGGATGGAAATTTCTGCCTTTGGAAATTTTTAAATAGTATACGTTGTGATTGGTATGAGTTGATTAGTTGTGGTCTCATAAGAGATATGGTTATGGATGCTACTTGCAAACCAGTTCCTTATGGCCCTTTTAGTCCTGAAACCAGTTATTGGAATTAATTCTTCTTGTGACAACTTCTGTAACTAAAAGCGATTGCCAATGTAGTTGGCTGTCAAACATCCAGTCTTATCCTTTTAAAACCTTCTGGGTCATGCCCAGCTGTGCAAGAAAGCAAATTCTTCTTCTAGTGCCCCAGCTCATTTGGAGAGTTTTCCTTTTTAGGCCTGATTGCAAAGCATATTCCTGGAAAGACCTTTCTGTATTGGTCCTCAGAGAAGTGACTTCTACTTGTCACTTGGACTTAGTTTGATGGAGAGGAACCAAGTTTTACATCACACTCACGTCTCTCCTCTTCATTCCCTTCACTAAAAATAATCATCGCTATCTGATGTCCGTGTCCAGCATAAGGATGTATTAATAGGGTTGTAAGCAACTTCCATTTACTGTCACTTATCATCTTGCCAAGAGTGCTGGATTTGCAATGAGAGGCCCTGGGTTTGAATTCTGACTGCTGTTTTACTACCTAGGTGTCTTTAGGGAAGTCATTTGTCCCTTCTGGAGCTACAGATTGGAGCAGGTCACCTCTAAGATCCCTTCTAGCTCTAAATTCAATGAGCCAATGGTTTTTCTACTCACTATTTTTTCTTTTTTCTTTATCCCTCCACTAGTAATTTTTTTTACTGACTCATTTTCTCAACATTTTTGTGCTTTGTATGTTACATTAGGCATATACTTGAAAAGTTTACCACATTATATCTATTTTCTGTTTCTTTTCCTAATGTACCTTCACAATAAGCAAGAGACTGCTCTTTAAAAATTGTTTGGTAGCCTTGTAAATTACAATTCACAGTATTCAGTTTTTATGAGGTAGGTCCTATTGCTTTTCTCCTGTGCTTAACATTCATCCACTCATTCATTCAGCATTTACGTAGTGCTACCGCAGTGTATGCAGAAGAGTGGCATCTTGCATAGAAGTTAAGATAAGAGAAATCAGAGCAAATGGGGAGAATAAGAAGGTATTGAAACACTAAAGACCACTGTGAGGACCCGAAACAGGCAAGGGAGAGGCGAAGGTGTAGGAGAAGACTGGGGGGAAAAGAGGGAATTGCAGAGTTTCACATCTTAAAGGCATAGCAGTGTCAGGTCATAGCAAGGCCTGGGGTGGTCTCCATTGTGACCATGTGTGTGATTGCCAGAGATGGAAGAGAAGTCTTTAGACTCGGAGAAGTATAAGCTCTGGGAAATCAGGCTTTAGAATAGATATTGATGTGGATGATAAAGTTGCTGCAGGTGATAGAGAGCAGGTGTAATGGAAGACCAAGCTGTATGCAAAAATCATTGGAAAAGGAGGAAGAGTGTCTTGGAAATTGGCAATTGACTTTAGAGAGGTTATTTGTTCTACTTTGCTTATGTGAACCTCAGGGGAGAAGAAATTGTTGAACGTTAATGGCGGAGAATAGTCTAGAAATGCCGGTAGAAAAAGGAGTTATGCAAATGACTGTCTTGAGCTACCATTCGGGGTAAGTGGAGGAACAGGTTTTATTGCATAGATGAGGTAGGGATGGGATATGGTACTCTTAAAGGATAGTGAAGTTTCACTTCATGGTAGGAATCGGGGAGACCTCAGATGCCAGCTAATCCCACCCCCTCAATTTACAGAATAGGAAACTGAGGCTCAGAAAGAAAGTCAGAACCTGGCCCAGGACACTGGCAGCCTCTCTGATCACTAAGCTTCGCTGGGCCTCAGTTTACTCCTATATAAAATGGGGGTTTGGATTGGATGACCTCTGGGTTCCCTTCCTGCTCTAGATCCACAGCCTGTGATCCTGTGATTGAACTGATTATCTCTCCTCTTAGCCACAAGACCTGACCAGCCCAGGAAAAAGCAGAAAGCAGGAACCATTTGGGTTCAGAGGACCCTAAAAAGGCCTTCAACCTCCCTCCACCTCTGGTAGTAAATCTCAGAAACTCCTTAAGGCCCACTATAACCAAAGAAGCCCAACTGCTCAGGCCAGATGTCACAGCAAAAGGCCAACATTAAGACCTAGTGAGGGGGCAGTACCCTCCCCCCATCATGTAGGGGCATAAGCACCTGACATGCTCCAGGTGAGGACAGTTAAGATGAGCCCCGAGCCCCTTAATGAGTTGCTTGCTATCTCCCCATCCCACCCCCCACCCTATGCTTTCACTGGTGTGGAGTCCAGGCACAAACAGCTTGTCACTCCGTGCTTTCTCTTCTCCTCACAATGGTCTGGCTAGCAAGTGACTCACAATTCACTTCCTGTGGGTTAAATAAGGGATCAGCTTAAATCATCGCCACTCCCAGAACCCACCTGTTGGGGATTATGTGATTTTATGAAAAAGGCCTTCTAAAGGAAGCAGCCAAGATGTGAAAACAAGTGGATGCCCACGTCAGCTGTTGCCTCCACCTGCTGTTGGAAATTGTAGTAATTACTCTGTGACATCAGGTGCTTACCAAGTAGCTTCCTTCACCATCCTAATGAGGATCTTCATAGAAGTATAAATTACTTTAACTTGTTACCTCGATTGTCACTTCGAGATGATTGCTCACAGAATGTTGCTGGCATGTATTCCGCAGAGGTGGGTAGGAGTCTAAAAGCTTTAAAAAAAAAAAAGACTAGATTTAGGAAATTTACTTCAGGACCAAATTGAACAGATGGTTGATAGTAAAGACAGCACACATTTTGTCTGCATCTCAGGAATTTATAAATGCTCCTTGGGGAAAAAAAAGTCTAAAACTATCAAACTGTCAGAGGCATTTATGGAACTCCATTGTGCAGCTCTGCAGAATTTTAATTTTAAAAACCATTCACCCTTTCCCTATGGTCATGGTGATTGTAATAGTTATTTAATTTTAAGAGACCTGCCCCTTCATTTCTTCTCTTTCATCATCAAGGGTCACCTCATTTCTGTCTCCATCCCCAAGCAGTTCCCTGAGGGAACCCTAGCTTTGGGGTCAAGAGCCAGAAGAAGCTATAGATAGATAGATGCAAGCTCCCATTAACTTGATAGAGGGTTTCCAGAGAGAGCCACTAAGTTGGGAGAGCATAGATCCAGCTCTGCATCATTTGCCTGACTCTCAGTGTCTCTGAGCCTTTCACCAGCAGGTGTGGTAAGGATGCAGAGGAACCACCTACTTTCATCTTTATGTGTCCCTGTTTGATTATCAGTCATAAAGAGATAAGATACAGTTGGCAGAAGAGTAATAGTCTAGACCTATTCGTGTTCACCACTTTGATGCTGCAGGTACTTTATAGGGCAGTACAGTAAGGTGGAAAGGACAACCTGATTGGATTCAGAGGATGGGGGTTCACATCCTGGATCTTCACTTTAAACTCTCTGTGACTGGGGCAAAGTCCTTTAACTCCTGTACCCTTGAGTTTCCTTACCTGTGAAAAGAGTTGGGGTGGACTAGACCAGGGCTTCCAAACCTGGGCTACACACAGCCCCTGGGGGGTGTACAAGAACCTTAGCAAGGGCTCATTGTTTTGTGTGAAAAACTAATGAATGCCATTTTCTTTCAAATATATATGTGATAAACTCTAGAATTTATTTCATATTTTATGTTGATAAGTGCAAGAGGCTTATTGAAAGCCAAAGCTTATTAGGAGCCCTTGGACCAAGATGACCTCTGAAATCTCTTCCAGCTCTGAATATCTGGTCCTGAGTTGAGCCCTGCACTAGGAACCTCTTAGCCTATCTCTCAAGAGAGGATGAGCTATTTGCAACTTTTAGATTAAATGGAGCATTTTGTAGAAAAGGGACAGCATATTTGTGTGTGTGTGTGTGTGTGTGTGTGTGTGTGTGTGTGTGTGTGTGAGAGAGAGAGAGAGAGAGAGAGAGAGAGAGAGAGAGAGAGAGAGAGAGAGAGAGAGAGATACCAAAAACACAGGCTAAATTTTTTTTAGCTGTAATCATTTTCAGCTGGCAAGTCCTCAAGTGAATAACTTTCCTCCAGTGCATTTTATGCTGAATCTGCTAGAGTTTTTTCGAGTTTGATGTTACATTTTTCTCTGTCATTTCTTTTCTCTCTTCATTTGTTGCTAACCCGCAGACCATGGTGACCCTTAGAAAATATCTTCTCATTTTAATTACAGGTCTAATTTCTGGAGCTCTCTGACACGTACACGCACACGCTTCTCCTCCACTGGATCTGTGATGGCTTTATCCTTTTAGAGAGGGATCACTTGTCTGTTCTGTTCGCTTCTTTTCTAATAGTTCTTTTTTGTGAATCCACAGATTGGTCCAATCATTGCACTACAACGTACCATCAAGATGGAGCATGGACCTACCTCAGTCAGATTGTGTCCTGTTCTCCTTGGGTTCTATACATCTTCATGCTGGTGTCTTTCCATGTATCATGGTCTACTTTTTTGTTATTAAATCAGTTCTATCAGGTATTTTTTTTTACATCTTATAATGTCTCTGGGCACCATTTTCTAGCTACCCAGTTTTTATTCCCTCACTTATCTTATTTACTTTCTTAAAACATTAGCAAACACATTTCATATTCTGCTACTATGAAAACTGTGTTGCTTACGGTGGTGGTTGGGGAAGAGGTGGAAGGGTGAATTAGTGGCTACTGGATATAGTGATAATACCTCCAAAGATGCTGGTGGCCATTGCAGACCTCAGGTACCTAGGCACCAGCCAGCCAGCTGGCACTTACTTTACTTCCAGCCATGCCTCCCTTTGTTTCCTGTGAGTCTGACATCCTGCTACTGCTGCTGGGAGCCCCTACTTGCCCAGGCAGATGAGGGCTACCTGTGCCAATTCAAAACCTTGATTATGTGGAACCTAATTCACTAGAACCTTCAGCTAACTAACTGGGACTTTGTTGCTGTGTTCTGCTTTTAAAATAAAGAAGCAGGTGAGAAGAAAAAGTGATAGGAGATGCTTAGTCCACAGGATAACTTTTGAGGACAGTAGTGGTGATTGTGGATCAGTCCAGTCTTCCACACTGCCAAGAGTGGGCAGTGAGAATGAGGCCCTGCATGACTCCCAGGGATTCTGAGTTCAGTTCTGTGTTCATATAGAACTTATACGCAAGGCAACATGTAAATCCTAAAAGATTTAGACTTCTCCCTAGAGTTATGGGGACAGAAAAGTTGGCTCATAAATTGCAGGAATTACACCACTGAGCACCTTGTTTCTAGGGCACTCTGCTAGGTGCCATGAAACAAGATAATCCTTTCCCTCCAGGAATTTACAGTCTAATAGAGATTTCCAAGAACACAAGATTTGTTTTGTAAGGGTTTTCTGTCTAATGTTCAACTAACCAAGAAATCATATTATTTGGGGGTTTGTGTCCTAGTTATGACTTGGTTACATTTTTAACCATATGACCTGGGGCAACTCACTCCCTCTGTAAACCTTGGTATCTGTCAATTGAGGGTGCTGGAACATCTCGAAGGGACCTTCTGCTGCTGATAGTGTAGGACTCTATGCAATTCATCCTGGTAAACTGAGGTTTGACTACAGTAAATCCAGAGTAACAAAGCTAATTCAAGTTACACCATTTTATTCTTATCTTTCCGGTGTGATAATTGTCAGTCTTTTAAGGTATATAGACTTTGCAGAAACTTGGCATATGAACACCACCAAAAGAATAACTCTGATTTTATTCATAAAAACAGACCCTAAAATTCAAAATAATTTAATCTGCAAATAAAATGCAGATTTTATTGATAATTCTCATTTATCTTATTCAGATTTTATTCATAGTCAGCATCATTAACTTTAGGTTGGAGCAGATGGCTATTAAGGTCCCTTCCAACTCTAAATTTATGCTCTACCCTGTAAGATAATAAAGCAGTTTAAAAGAGCCAAGTGTATGCCTTTTCATGTTTGACTTTAAATTGAATTTTAAATTTTTGCTCATATCTTTTGTTTTTACCTTCACTTCAGAATATATTCCTCTTTTACCCAGCTGGCCATCCCTTGTATCAAAGACTTTGAAAAGAGGAGGAAAAAAAGAAGTTCAGCAAAGCTAACCAATATGTCAGCCTAGTATGACAGTATATGCTATATCATGTACCCATAGCTCCCCCACCTCTTCAAAGAAAGGAGAGATCACACACTTGTTTTACGGCATGATGATTTCTTAAAGGATTTTAGCACTAGTTTGATAGATAATTGGTCGAACGAAGAGCGGCTGCAATATATGAAGGTTGTAGGCTTCATTTTCTGGTCAGACAGCTAAGAGCCATCACTTTTGGAAAGGCTCTTGAAAAACTTTGGATGCCCTTTAACATGTTGTCAGGAATAAATTGTTTTCTGTTACCTTTGCTACACTTTCAGATTGCGGTTTTGGGTTTGACATCACATGAGAGAATCAGCCTGGTGAAACAGAGCAAGCACATGAAACAGGTTTTTTCACTCAGGAAAACACCATACAAGTAAGCAGGGATCTCTTTCCTCGGCACTGACCCTGTGGGCAGTGCCCCAGCTGGCTGCCCTGACTCCCACCCACTCACATCGCCTCTCTCGAAAAGGCCTCCCTCTCTGAGCTCATGGAATTTGCTTGCCAGGACGCTGTAGCCAGAGATAGTCCCCAGATGGCTGCTGTGGCCAGAGCTGCTCTCTGTAGGCAGCCGTTGGGCCGCCCTGCTTGACATGAGCCATAGACTGCTTTTGAGATGATGCTCGGGCAGGCAGGGTCTTCCCACAAGCCTCACAGTCCCAAGGGTGCATGTTGCTCATGTGAAGAAATCAGAAGGTAGATAAGTATTCTGTGAGGAAGCCAGACCCTGAGGCCCTCTGTGGAATGAGGGTAATCCTGAAGCTTGCCAAGACTGTTAACCTGGCCACTCACCTCTCTGTTCCTTTGTCTAACTGTTTAATTTCTCCATGTCAAAAGGAGATTATCACCTCAGTTTTGTGCTGCTTTTTTTTGTTTGTTTTTAAATCCAAAGCCATAAGCATATAAAAAAAAATCTGTAGTTTATTCCCAACTAGGGACGGGTATTTTCGAAAAGCCTTAAGTCTTTGGTATGTGAAGACCAGCCTCTGAAGCTTATCTGTGCCCTGGCTTCACACGTCAGGTCTAGGAATGCTGCTGAGGTGACCCAGAGCCCCCTTAGGCGAATGTTCCCAGCCTATCTCCATGAGAAGTCTATTTTAAAGCTCATCACAGTACAAGATAAAACTGTTAGGCCTTCTCACAAGAAAGTCAGGAGCTGGAACTTGGCTGCAACACACACAGGGAGAAGGGAGAGATCAGCTTAATTGGAGAAAGGGGGCTTGGAGGGGTGGTGGGGAAACAAAGGGCCAGGCTTGTGATGACAATTTCAACAATGCCTCAGTTGTTGAACAGGCTGCATACATGTTCCAATGAACAGGAAAATAGCAAATACAATAAGATAAGCCTTATTAAACATAAGGCTGCCACATTTTGGCAGCCAGAAGACATAGATAGCGGGGAGTTCGGGAAAGAAGAGGCTTCCTGGCAAGGATGGCTTAGCCAGGGTTCACCTAATCGGCCTCTGAGAACGCACAGGGCTGCACTGGACACGTGCTGCCTGGCAGTATTTTAGTGGCTGACTCTGAAGTTTTTACATTTTTCTCTTATCAGTATTAGTAATAATAATCATAATAGAGCTAGCGTTTATGTAGATCTTTAAGGTTTGTAGAGTGCTTCACTTATTTTACTGCATTCAGTTCTCACAGCATTGCTGAGAGGCGTGCCTTCTATGTGCCAGGCACTGTGCTATTATTATCTCTATTACACAGGTGAGGAAACTGAGGCAGACTGATTAAATGGCTTGTCCAGGGTTACACAACTAGTAATACTATTATCCCCATTTTACAGATAAGGAAACTGAAGCAGGGAAAGGTTAAGTATTTTACCTAGGACCACACAGCTAGTAAGTATCTAAGGCAGTATTTGAACTCGGGTCTTCCTTACTCTAGGTCCAGCGCTATATCTACTGGGCTGCCTTGCTATCTCTAGAAGGAAAAGGCTTCTTAATGATAATAGTTCCAGATATGTACAGAGCAATTACTACTTGCAGAGTGCTATGCTAGGGACTTGGGATCCAAAGAGAGAGAACACGTGGTCCCGGCCCTCAGCAGGTTTACAGAATAATGGTAGTGGCAAGACAGTGTGGTTTTCTTAAAGTACAAGGTAGCTTGTGCTGAGCATGATGGAAGAGTTGATTCCAGTAAATGCTAGAGATGACCCAGGCTGTATGCATTTATTAAATACATGCCAAGCATTGTGCTAAGCACCAGGAATGCAAGAACAAATGTCCCCTACCCCTAAGGAGCTCCATTCTAGGGGACCCCACAGATGCTTAGGTTGGCACATACAAGATACATATAAGAGTAAATGGAAGGTAGACTTGGAAGAAAAGTACCAGCGGCAGGGGGCTAGAGAAGGCTTCCTTCCAAAAGTAGTGCTTTAGCTAAGTCTCAAACCCTGATGTGAGGAGGCAGAGCCTTCCGGGCATGGGGGACAGCCAGTACAAAAGCACAGAGCATGTGAGGGGCAGCCACAGGATACAGAAGAAGTAGTCCTCAATAGCAGGAGCATTTGGGAAGGCTTTGTAGAGTTGGCAGGAGTTGAATGGACCTTGAAGGGAGGCTTTAGACAAGCGAAGAAGAAGGAGAACTTTTGCAAGCAGGTGTGAATACCGGGACAGCAAGGGGAGTGCTTATGATTTGCTTGGAAAACAATGAGTAGGACAGTCTATCTGGTAAGGTATTTTCCAATGGGGGGATGGTAGAAAATGAGGTCAGGGACACATTATAGAGGGCCTTAAATACCAGCATAAAGAAGTTGGGCTTAACCTTTTGGGCAATGAAGAGCCATGTAGACTGGAGCAGTGATGTACAAACAGTCCAGTGTTTTAATAAGGCTTATCTTATGGTAGCAAAGCATAGGATGAATTAGTGGGGAGAGAGAGGCAAAGAGGCCAGAAAGGAGACTATGATTGTAATAGTCCAGGGTAGTAGCATTTTAAATGGACAAGAAGTGACATTTTGATAGTAGTGACAATCCCGTGGAAGGTAGAACCTGGAACCAGTGGAAAAGCCAGGGTAGAGTAACTGGGGAAAACCAAGGAAAGCAATCCCTGTGATACCATCAAACCAATGATAGACCTGGGCCACCTTGTAATAGCCAGAACTGATCAGAGGCTGCCCGCTAAGTCCTGTTTCCCTTTTCTTTTCTCGAGCAGCCATGGATTCACTCAGAACCTTGCCGACTTCTTTCAGTGTGGATGCTTTGGCTTGTTCAAGCCTAGTGCTGTGGACTGGACCTCCCAATACACTGTGGTATTTCACCCAGCCAAAGAGAAAGTTTTGCGCTCTGTATGAAGAAAAGCAGTGCTAAGTTCTGAATTAGAAACCTGACTTTTTGTTTATTGGGCTGGGGCACAGAAACAAGTGAAGTTCAGAAGTTTATCAGAACTGAAGCGAACCCTCAAATGAAAACATTCTTCTAGGTCTTCATGTAGTAGACAAAACGGGGACCTTTCAGACAGCTAACCTCATTGCACTTTGTAGTTTCAACAAGATAAATTTTTCCTGAATTATCTCAGCAAGTTACTTAAACTCTTTTGATACATTTTTCACCAGAGAAATGCCACTGTTGATTTTTTTTTTTAGTTTTGAAGATTATATTCATTGATTGTGGATAAAAATATATTATATTTTCACATTGTATTGGCTGTTTTGAAATAGTTTTATTCTTAAAACTAATAATTTTGGTAAATTATTTTTCTTTGTGTTGCATCTATAAATCTGTATAAAAATGTTTGAATGGATGTATCTGTTTTGCTTTCACACTTCATAAATTAGACTTTTATACAGGTAGGTTCATTCAGTGATTTTTTCCGACACTTCTAGAATTTGACTGTTTGAAAAAGGCATACATATCTTAAAGAAACACGTTAGATTCACAACCCTGGAGGTAAACTGAGGATTTTCAATTGCCAGCATTAGCTAGAAAGTACAAATAGGGATAGATACAACCATCGAATACAGTAACGTGAAAATGTAGATTTAGAGCTAACAGGGACCTTTGAGATTAGCTTCTTCTCCCTCTCATTTTACAGATGAGCAGCCAGAGGCCCAGGGAAGGGAATGGGGAACTTGACCAAAGTCTCACGAGTAGTAAGGAGCAAGGCTGGAATTTGAACCCAGGACCTTTGACCTCATGTCCACCCTGCTTTGCTGTCACATAAGTCAGATCATAAGTCTCAATTTCCCTTTTTGTGTAAGGAAACATTTCAAGTCAGGCAAGATGCACCTTCATTTTAAAGGAAAATCTCTATATGGCGGTATAGAAGTATGGCTGAAAATTAGGTCTAGTCATTCACTTTACAGAGGGATTTTTCATGGTAAGGTGTGTCAGAGGGCACCTTTCAATACCAAATCTCTCAGTACATTTAAAATAGAATCTGATTTACACAAACCTTTAGGAATACATCTGTTGCAAAAAGCAAGGCATGCTAATATACTGAGTTGAAAAATTAACATGTATTCCTGCACTTACCGGTCTCTAGACTGTGTTGAAAGAGCTTATTGAAAGAATGAGGCTCTTATGAAATCTTGGAAGGGACCTTGGAGGTCATCTAGTCCCATCTGCACATTTTACAGATGAGGAAAGTGGAGGCACAGACTTGCCTAACACCACATAGGTAGTAAGTGGCCATGCAAGATTCAAGCTCAGGTCCTGGGACTCCAAGCTCTGTGTTCTTTTGGCTGGGCCGTGGTCTTTAAGAACCAGCTAACAGCATCAGGTTAACACAGTTATTGTGCAGAATTCAGGCAAAAGTGAAGATGTGTAATTGCCATAATCCTTTCTCTTTGGGCCTGGAGAATCTAATGCAATACAGAATGGGACACAACCAGTCAGCACTTAGAAATGAGACTGTTTTTTTTTTCTTTCAGAATTCCCAGTAGCATTTTAACTACCTTTAAGAATAACTTTAAAATGTTAAACTTAATTAAGAAAAGAGAAAGCATATGTATTACACTCTAGATTGAGTTGGCTGATTTATTTTTATGGAAACAGTGTTTATGCCCCATCTGTACTCGCCTTCATACAAACGTGGTTGCGAGGGCAGCTGAATTTATGAAGCCCTTCCGGGTCCTTTTGTATTTCCTTTCCAAGAAACACTCACAAAATAACCATGTTCCTAGTTTAGGACCAGCATACTGTTCTCTGTTCTCCAGATCTGGATTCCAGAGAGACCCAGATTCAAATTCTTCTTCTGGCTTAATAAACATAGGCAAATCACCTGACTGCTCCAAGCCTCAGTTTCCTCATCTGTAAAACTGAGATTGTGATACTGAAGTACTGATTGCACAGAGTTGTTGTGAGGATTAAATGAGGTAACAAATGCTTATTGAACTGAATTGAGATAATTATAATAGCTAATATAGAGAGCTTTAAAGTTTGGAAAGTGCTTTACTTATATTGTGATGTCTATAAAATTCTTGGTCCACCTTAATACCATATGCAAATGTCAGACTGTTAATATTACTACTTCACAACTTTGAAGACCACATTTTCAAGTCAAGTCAAATAAATAGTAATGATAGCTAGCATTTATATAGTGATTTAAGGTTTACCAAGTACTTTACAGTATACCATTTTATCTTCACAATAGACTTGGGTAGTAGGTACCATTATTTTTCCTGTTTTATAAATGGGGAAACTGAGGCACTGAGCAATAAATTAACTTGCCCAGGGTCACATAGCTAGTAAGTGTCTGAAACTAGATTTGAACTCAAGACTTCTTGACTTCATGTCCAACAGTCAGTCTGTCTGCTGTGCCACCTCACCGCTTTAAGGTTCTCTCAAGTGGTAGCCACTGTTAAATGCATGTACTCAGGAAATACTGACTGAGATGACTTAGTCTATAAGTCTGTAAGTATTAGAAGAGTTCTCTTAATCCTTTATGGGGCCCAGCATAGTGCCTTGTACATAGGACAGGTACCCATTAAGTGTTTGTTAGGTCAATGTGATGTGGGAAAGAGTGAAAGTTATGGAAAGATGAAAAGTTTTGTTTTTTCTTAAATCCATGAAGTTTCATGTGGTAAAAGACAAGGATATGGTTTTTCAAGGTGGCTACAATCTCTTCAGGATGGAAAGGTTGAAGGAGTTGAGATTATTGCAGAAAGTTATGGTGAGTTTATCAGCAGAGTACATTTAAAGAGTACTGGATTTGTGTCTGAGCACTGGGGTGAAAATCCCTACTCTCCTTAGCTGCCCGTGTTCAGCAAATCACTGACTCTCTCTGGGCCTCACTTTCCTCAAAAGTCACTCCCAGCTCTAAATCTGGTATTAGATCTACGATAGTGTGTGATCCAAGATCGTACACCAACCAGATTACAGTAAAGACAACATTCTGCTGACAGGAAAGTACTGGGGGCCAGGCCTGGGCATTTCTAACACATCTCCAGGTGGATCCTCAGGCTACTGACCTATGAACAACAGCACTTGCTATTCTAAGGGCCAGGGCAGCCTAGCTTCTGATGTGGAGGTTGGGGTGATATCCTAAACCTCAAACTTACACATGAAAATCATCAAGATCATCTAGTCTAAGCCGTCTGTGTTCTAGATGGGGAAACAGACCTAGAGAAACTAAGTGATCACACAGGTAAGGAAAGAGCAGAGCTAGGATTGAACCCAGGCTCCCTGACCCCAAGTATATTACTTAACACTCTCCCCTGCTGATAGAGTTACCAGCTTTGTTGACTTAAGTTTTACATCCCGAACAGAAAGCTTGTTGCCACCAGGTAGGAACTGTAATGTCCTTAGCATTAACAATGCCAAGTTTGAACCTCTATGGCACTACTGCTTATCAAAATCCCTTTGGAAACAGTTGGGATGAGATATTTATCTTGTGCCTTATTGTTAGCCTTCAGGTTTCTTTTAGCTGAGAGCCTACTGTGTGCTGAGGGGTCACAGTGAACAGTGAGAATAGATCCTAGTCCTCAAGCTTACCCTCTGAGTAAAAGCATAAGGTAAGTACAAAGAACCCTGGAGTCATAGAATGTCCGAGCTGAAGGGAACCTGCCAGGTCCTCTCGTCCAGCTGTTTCATTTTGTAAATGAGGAAACTGAAGTCCAGGAAGATGAAGTGAGTTATCCAATGTCACGAGGCTATTTAAAGGCAAAACCTGGGGCAGCTAGATGGCAAAATAGATACAGTACCGGCTCTGAAGTCAGAAGGACTTGAGTTCAAATCCGGCCTCAGACCAAACACTCGACACTTACTAGCTGTGCGACCCTGGGCAAGTCACTTAACCCCAATTGCCTAAAAAGGGAAAAAAAAAAGACAAAACCTACATTACATTTTTTTTGTCATATTTAGCTAAGATCAACCCTTTAAGTGACATCCACACTAAAATGAACTTTGCCCAAGAAGGCAGTCATTGAAAGAACAAAAAAGACAGTTGTACATACAGAGCACTTGATAAATGCTTCTTCTTGTTTCAAATGAGATAGGAAATAGATCTAAATCATTGGTTCTTAACCTTGAGCTAATTAACTTCCTTAAAAATTGTTTTGATAACTACATTTCAGTATAATTGGTCTCCTTTCTAATTCCTACGTATTGTATTTTATGCATTTAAAAATATTGCTTGGGGAAGCGATCCATAGGCTTCACCAGACTGTCAAACTTGGCTTGTCTGGGCCTCAGCTTCCTCATCTAGAAAATGAAGAGCTTGGACTAGTGATCTCTATGATTTTCACAGAAAAAGGTCAAGAACCCCTACAACAGTATCTCTAAAACAGTGCTTACCCTCAGAGATGGGAGTAACTGGGCAAGCCGATGAGATTAGGATTAGAATCGTGGTATGTAGAGCTGGAAGGGACCTTAGATCATCTAGTCACTCTCTTTGTTTTATAGCTGAGGAAACAAGCCCAGTGAGGAAAAGTTACTTCCCCTGTAAAAGTCACTGTCATACCTAATCGGTGGAACTCTTCTCCCAGTACAGCCCCGATTAGACTCGTCCCCTGGCAGTCCCTGCTGCAGCTCCTCTCTAGGCTGTGCAAGCACCCAACCTGAGCCAAGGGATTGATCCTCGGGACTTCTAGGCACCTGCCCCTCAGGTCACCTCAAGGCTGCAGAAATGACCCTTGGAGGCTGAGTTCTGTGCTCTGCATCAGGGATTGGTGAGTAAGATCCCTGATTTTCCCCATTTTGTTTTGAGTCGGACAGAGAGTTGCATAGGATTAGCAATATGTTATAATCTGGATTGCAGATAATGTTAAATTATCATCCTGTTGTTGAGTCATTTTCAGTCATATCTGACCATGATCCCATTTGGGGGATTTTCTTAGTAAAGATATTGAAGTGGTTTGCCATTTCCTTCTCTAGCTCATTTTTCAGATGAGGAAACTCAGGCAAAGTTAAATGACTTGCCCAGGGTCATACAGCTAGTAAGTATCTGAGGTGAGATGTGAACTTGAGTCTTTCTGACTCCAGGCCTGGAGCTCTATCCACTGTACCACCTTGCTGCCTAGTCACTTGAGTTTTCACCACTTAGCTGTCATATTCAGCTCCTCACTTTCCTTTGCTCCAAACATCTTACTGGTTCTACCTTCACATCCTCCCTCACATATGTCCACTTCTCTCCACTCACCCAGCCTCCACCCTAGTTCAGAGTGTGATTTCTTCTCATTTCTATCATTGCAATAGCCTCCTAATTGGGCTCCCAGCCTTAAGTCACTCCCCTCCAGTCCATCCTCGGTATAGCTGATTTTCCTAAAGCACAGGTCTGATCCTATCACACCCCTACTTAGTAAACTCCGGTAGCTCACTATTGACTCCAGGACCAAGTATATCAATTTTATCTCACAATTTTAAAATGTCTATTTTTGTGTAATTTTTGTATGAAAGTACATCTATACAAGGAAGGAGTCATACTCAAAAATTTTTGACTGATTGGGATCATAGATCCCTATTGGAGTTGGAAGAGACCTTAAAGATTATAGAGTCCAACCCGCTTGTTGTACAAATAAAGAAACTGAGTCTGAGAGGGCCTGAGTGACTTACCCAAGTAAGTGTCCAAGAACTTGAACATTTGGATCTTCCTTCCTCTAAATCCAGTACTTTACCTACTGTACATTATTCCCAAAGGCTCTTTTTGCTTCCCCCTTAAAAAGACCTATCCTCCATGTAGGTGGAGGATATGGATGCCATATCAAAAAACCACTCTTCCCCCTGAAAATCTCCTTATTAGCGTGCCCTGGAAGCCAACATTCCTTACAATTCTTGTTAAAAAAAAAAAGGAGAAGAATTATCTAGCAGAGTAGCTTATTAATCTATCATTGGCCATTAACACTTTCTCAACAGAAGAGTCTATCAGATTAGTATTAGCAGAGGGAAGGACTTAAAGTGAGACACAGGATAGGGAAATTATGGAGGAGGACACTTGGAATCTGGAGTCCCTCTTGTGTGGGCTAAACTGGCCAGGCAAAGCTTGATGGTGAATGTAGGACCTGAGATGGGCCTGAAAGTATGTGTAGGATTCAGATAAATGGAAAGAAGCAAGGAAGATCCTTTAGGTAAAAGGAACAGCATCAAAGGCTTTGATGATTGTTCCCCAAAGCAGCCCCCCCCCAAATATTCAAGAGTCAAACTTGGGGTTGGAAGTGCAACCTCCTGTATGGTTGTGGTGTACTTCAGCTTGTGATTTCACCTATGGTATAGCCAAGTCTGTAAAGAAACAAAATGTTAGCCATTTTTGTGGGAGTAAGTAACACCTGGCCTCTTTGCCAGAGGCTTAACTGTAAACCATGCAGACCTGACCCACTGCATATAGGATCATGCCTTTCTGCTCTACAGCTTGGCTCTGGCCATTAGTCACCTTAGTATTCATCCTTCATCTATCAGTCAATCAATATTTATTGTCTACTCCATTGGTCACTCCTCACAATGGCTGCATAGTGCTGTTCTCCTTAGATCCTTAATCTCTCCTTCTATCCATTTGGAGCCGATGATCTCACCTCCTTCACCTGGAAAATCAAGAATAACGACGGTAGTTCTATCTGCAACCCTTCTAACCTCAACAAATCCCTTTCCCTCTATTCTTCAAGGTCTAGAAGAAATGCCCCACTCCCTTCCACTGTACCCTACACACCCTTCTTTCCCAACTTATAATGAGGTTTTGATTCCATGTTCATCCCCCTCTTCAGCATGTTCAGTGCTTTCTTCTGCATTAGATTGCTCTGCCTCCAAACAGTCCATTCTCTCTTGGCTTGAAAAAATAAAAAGACCTTTTTCCTCAGTCCAACTCTTCTACTGGAACATGCATCAGAGCTCCTGGTTTCTAGTTGGGATTCTGCCACTTACTCTGTATATATGGGCTTGGCTGTTACTTCTCATCTCTGTCTACTTCCTCATTTGTAAACTGACCAGGTTGTACCAAATGACTTCTCTAATATCCCTACCAGCTCCAACATTTCATGATTTATTATCCATTTCTCTCCTTTTCACTGCCAAACTCCAATTAAGCTGCTCTCAACAGTCACCAGTATATCCGACTCCTCCAAAATCCAATAGCCTTTTGACTAGTTCCCATTCTCTTTGAGAATTGATTCTCTTCCTCAGTTTCTCTCACTTACCCTCTGTGACACTACTTTCCTGGTCTTTTTCTCCCCTCTCTTGCTGATCGTCTGTTGCCTCCTCCTTAAACGTGAACATGCCCTGAAATTTAGCCAGTAATCTTCTATTCCTCTCCCTATGTGCTCTCATTTTAAAGAACTTCCAGAGCACTCAAGTCTACAGCCCTAGTCCTTTCCTAGCTCCCTGGATTATATCCAGCTGCCCACAGAATAATGTCATTTAGGATTTTAAATTTTTATTTATTTTATTTTTATTAATTTAATATTTTTATTGCCTCAGTACCACCATGTCTGTTTTAAGCCATGACCTGCCTCTTCCTCAAAGGGTTCCTCTTTTATGTCAGCGTAACACTACCATTTCCCATCTCCCCCATGCTGGACTGGAAATCTTGGATTCTTGGAATCATCTTACCCTTTACATTTCGTTTACTGGAACAGCCTCTTAAGTGGTTAATACCATTCCACTCCATCTATACACAAATGCTAGATTATTTCCCCTAACACCTCATTTTGTTCTGCCTAAGAATTTCCAGTGGCCACCTACTGCTCAGTAGATCATTTGGTAGCTCCTGAGCTTACTTTCAGTCAGCTTCATTAGCCGTCTCCACCTTAGCACCGCTACCCCACATTACTTCACCACGCAGGGTCTCTCTCTTCCAGCAAGGCCAGTCTCTCCCCACAACATATGTCATGCTTGCTCTTGCCTTTTCTATTCTTCCCACGTGGAATCCTTGGAAAAACAAAGCAAAACATGAAGGAGGGCAGCGTAGCTGTGCCAAATTTCAAACTATTTCACAAAGCAGTGATCATCAGAGCAACCTGGTACTAACGAAGAAACAATGGTGGATATAAATTAGGTGGAATAGATTAGGTACGCAATACAGAGTAGTAATTTACCAGACTAAGCTTTCATAAACCCCCAAACCCAACCTTTTGGGGCAAGAACTCACCATTTGGGAAGACTTCAGCTTCCAGGAGCCAAGATGGTAGAATGAAAAGGTAGTTGCTCTCACTCTCCCCTATCAACCTCTGAAAACCCAGTAAATATCACCCCAGAAAAAAAACCCTGGAACACCTGAACTAGAAGAAAGACGAGGAGAGCAGCAGTGCAGCAGCCCAGCAAACGGGTCTCCCAGTGCCTCAGCAAAAATAAGGGAGGCAGAACTACAAGGGGCCCCAGGCGGATAAGTACCCTGCAGCATTCATCTGAAAGGAGGTGAAGAAAACAACCCAAAGGCTTCCTAAAGCCCCAGCCTTGCTGATTCCAGCCTAACACCAGTGAGCTATTGGAGCCCTGCAGCCTCCAATTATGAAGAAATCCTGAAGCCCAGGTGGTAGAACAGGCAAACATCAACACCTGGACCTCTGAGTGCCTCAGTGAGGGCAGGGGGAACCGGTGGAAACCAGGTCAGAAAACCACCAGGTGCATTAGCAGAAACCAGCGAGACAACACTGCAGGGGGCCCCAGGCAGATAAACACCCTGCAGCACCCATCTAAAAGGAGCTGAAGAAAGCTAAAGGAAAGGAAAAGCAGGCAACCTAGAATTGCCTGAAAGTTCCAGCCTTGCTGATTCCAGCCCAACAAGAGGTAAGCTGCCAGAAACCTACAGCCTCTAATTCCCAGCATAAGAGGCCCCAGCTCTCAAAGCCAGTGACCAAGACCTAGGCTCCCAACACAATAAGCTTGGGTCAGTACCCTCTGTTCCCCAGCAGGAGAGCTCAATCTCTTTAAAGACTAGGGAATAAAGAAACACCATGAGTAAAAAGAAACGTACCATAGATTCATATTATGAGAAGAGTGAAGATCAAGACAGAAATTCTGAAGAGGACAACATTGTCAACAAACCCACATCTGCAACAACAAAAGGGAATATGAACTGGTCTGAAGCCCAAAAAGCCTTCTTAGAAGAGCTCAAGAAGGATTTTAATAGTCAAATGAGAGAGGTAGAAGAGTCCTTCAAAAATACAATTGGCCAATTGGAAAAAAAATACACTGAAGAAAACAAGTCCCTAAAAAACACAATTGGCCAGTTGAAGAAGGAAGTACAAAAACTAACAGAAGAAAACAATCTGTTAAAAACTAGAATTGGACAAATGGAAACTAATGTCTCTATGAGAGAGCAAGAATCAGTCAAACAGAAACAAAAAAATGAAAAAATAGATGAAAATGTAAAATACCTCATCAGTAAAACAACCGACCTGGAAAATCGACTCAGGAGAGACAATTTAAAAATTATTGGACTACCTGAAAATCATGATGAAAAAAGAGCCTGGACAGTATCTTTCAGGAAATCATAAAGGAAAACTGCCGAAGTCCTAGAACCAGAAGGGAAAATAACCATAGAAAGAATCCACCGATCACCACCTGAAAGAGATCCCAAATTGACAACGCCAAGGAAATATAGCAAAATTCCAAAATTACCAGATGAAAGAGAAGGTGCTGCAAGCAGCCAGAAAGAAACAATTTAAATATCATGGAACCACAGTCAGGATTACACAGGACCTTGCAGCTTCTACATTAAAAGACCACAGGGCATGGAACATGA